TCTCACACTCAAATATTTCCAGCACATCCAGCTGGCACTAATACATATTCATATTCTATTTTACTGAATAATTATAAATACAGGTTGAAATTAAAGGCTAAAATCCCTTATCTAAAATGCTTGGGACCAGAAGTGTTTTGTATTTTTGTAAAAATGTGTTGGAAAACTTGTATTTGCATATACATTGTGAGATATCTTGGAGATGGGACCTAAGTCTAAATATGACATTGATTTATGTTTTTTATATACCTTACAAACATAGCCTGAAGATATTTTAAATACTATTTAATTGATTTTGTGCATGAAACCCTGTGTTTATATACAGGTTTTTTTTTTATTTCTCGTGTCAGGGCAGCCAGTCAATTATATTACATTTCTAACAGAACAAAGCAAACAAACAAAGAAAATACAAAATGTGTGAGTTTGGTAGTTGATTAAATGTCCTTTGACCAGTATCTGGCCACTTGGAGTGCTTCTGGTGTTGCTGCAAGAAGGTCCTCCATTGTGCATGTGGCAGGGCTCAGGTTGCATTGAAGCAGGTGGTCAGTGGTTTGCTCCTCTCCGCACTCGCATGTTGAGGATTCCACTTTGTAGCCCCATTTCTGAAGGTTGGCTCTGCATCTTGTGGTGCCAGAGCGCAGTCTGTTCAGCGCCTTCCAAGTCGCCCAGTCTTCTGTGTGCCCAGGGGGGAGGCTCTCATTTGGTATCAGCCATTGGTTGAGGTTCTGGGTTTGAGCCTGCCACTTTTGGACTCTCGCTTGCTGAGGTGTTCCAGCGAGTGTCTCTGTAGATCTTAGAAAACTATGTCTAGATTTAAGTCGTTGACGTGCTGGCTGATACCCAAACAGGGGATGAGCTGGAGATGTCTCTGCCTTGGTCCTTTCACTATTGGCTGCCACTTCCCGGCGGATGTCAGGTGGTGCATAACGGCTAGACAGTGTAATTTCTCCAGTGGTGTAGGGCGCAGACACCCCGTGATAATGCGGCATGTCTCATTAAGAGCCACATCCACTGTTTTAGTGTGATGGGATGTGTTCCACACTGGGCATGCATACTCAGCAGCAGAGTAGCACAGCGCAAGGGCAGATGTCTTCACTGTATCTGGTTGTGATCCCCAGGTTGTGCCAGTCAGCTTTCGTATGATATTGTTTCTAGCACCCACTTTTTGCTTGATGTTCAGGCAGTGCTTCTTGTAGGTAAGAGCACGGTCCAGAGTGACTCCCAGGTATTTGGGTGCGCTGCAATGCTCCAGTGGGATTCCTTCCCAGGTGATCTTCAGAGCTCGGGATGCTTCTCTGTTCTTGAGATGAAAGGCACATGTCTGTGTTTTAGATGGGTTGGGGATCAGCTGGTTTTCCCTGTAATAGGCAGTAAGAGCACCTAGAGCTTCGGAAAGCTTCTGTTCTACCATCTCAAAGCTCCCTGCTTGAGCGGTAATGGCACGATCATCAGCATAGATGAAACTCTCTGTCCCTTCTGGCAGTGGCTGGTCATTTGTGTAGATGTTGAACATGGATGGAGCAAGCACACTCCCCTGAGGTAGGCTGTTTTTCTGTTTCCGTATATACAGTGACCCATCGGAAAGCAAGGGGGTCACTATCTCAGCCTCTATCTGGACAATTTGAAGTATTTCGGATTTGGGAATTCTGGATAAGAGATGCTCATAAATGCTGTAATGGAAAAACAGATCAACAAGAAGTGTGGAACACAATTTTGACCAAGGTTAATCCATGAATCACATCGAACCCATAATTTTGCTTTGTGTTTGCTAAAATCTAACCTGTAATTTTGCTTCGCCTGCAGACACTTAGAAATGAGTGCGCTCATCACTAATAGTCAGCATGGATTCATTAAGAAAGTCATGCCAGACTAATCTGATCTCTGAGATACAAGCTGGGTAGATGTAGGAAATGCGTGGATATAGTGTATCTGGATTTCAGTAAGGCCTTCCTTCGATAAGGTCCCTCATGTCCTTCTGGAAAACAAACCTGTCAAATGTGGGCTATGCAAAATTACAGTGAGGTGAATCTATAATTGGTTAAGTAAACGAACCCAGAGGATGATTCCCCACAATGCTTCCTCTTCGTCCTGGAAAGAAGTGACGAGTGGAGTGCCATCAGCAGGGTTTCATCCTGGGCCCGGTCCTGTTCAGGATCTTCATTCATGACTTAGATGAAGGATTAGAGGGCATGATCATCAAGGTTGCAGATGGGAGGGATAGCCAATACCCCAGAAGACAGAAGCAGAATTCAAAACGATATTCACAGATTGGAGAGATGATCGGCTAAAACTAACACAATGAAGTTCAATTAGGACAAATGCAGGATACTCCACTTATGCAGAAAAAAAATGAAATGCAAAGATACAGAATGGGGAACGATGCCTGGCTCGACAGAAATACATGTGAAAAAGATCTTGGAGTCCTCGTGGGGAGGAAGTTGAACACTGGGCTGTTAGGAATTGTGGGAATTGGATTCGAAAATACCTGAAGGGCCGAAGTTTGCCTATGCCTGATCTAGATGTTACTTGCATGTTCTACAACTGTTCTGATTCAATAGGGATAATCCAGGCCCTTCCAGTTTTTCAGCTGCTTTTAAAACGTCCCAGTTTCTCTCTCTCCTCCTTCCACTTTCTCCATCTGCTTACTACAGATCTTGCAAACTGAGTTCAAAGTACAAAACTGGTTTGCACTCAGCCAATGAGAGAGAAGGGAAAAGGCAGAACCTTGACTTTCACTGTAGCAAAAGCAAGCTGCTGGTGCCTTCTTAGCTCGTCTGTCTTCTCACTAATAACCTTTATCATCTTTATCACACTCTGATGTTGCTTGGCTACACATGTCCCAGTTTTTATCTGTGAAATGTTGGAGGCGATGCCGATAAGGACCACGCACCACAATTTCCCCAGACCTGGATTTCAGCTACTTTAGGCAGGTTCCTGTTCTACCTATTAGGAGAATGACTGAAGGTTTGTTCTTAAAAACTTACCTAGAAGATAAAATTCAAAGCATATCCCCTAGGTAAACTTTAAAACAACCAATCCAACACATCTATGCACATAATAAAAGTGAAAATATGTGTGCATGTGTGTGTGTCTTGAGTGTCCACTTACCCAAGTAAACACCTGCCTCCACAAACAACTATAGCTCCCACTACTCAGGAGACACCAATGGCCCTCCCTCCAATGACATTACAGGTTATAGTGAGCATCATGAACATATACAAGTGCGCTGATAGTGTCCTCCACAAACACAATACTGCCACAACCCAAGTAAAGGCTTTCATATGGGGACAATTCCATCCTAGATTTCATGTGTTTCCTACTCCACAGACATCCCAATGTTTCTTACTCTCTCCATTGGTGTTGAATTTGCATGAACCCGCCCACTGCCTCTCCCTTAACCCTTTCCTATTCTTTTCTATGGCACACAGCAAACAGTGGAATTCATCAGCAACTGAACATGCTAGAGAGGTTTCGGGATTTATAGTTGTAAGTCCTGGGATGTATAGTTCACCTGCAATCTAAGAGCACTCCAAGTCCACCAATGATGGACCTGGAACTAACTTGGCACACAGAACTCTCATGACCAACAAAAATATTGGAGGTCTTTGGGGAAAATTCACCTTAATTTGGGGGAGTTGTAGTTCACCTATATCCAGAGTGCATTATGAAACCAAACAATGATGGATCTGGACCAAACTTGTCATGCATACCAGATATGCTCAAATTTAAATACTGGTGGGTTTTGAGGGGAATTGGCCTGGACATTTTGGAGTTGTAGGAACTGGGATTTATAGTTCACCTGCAATCAATAAGAACTCTGAAGTCCACCAAAGATGGAATTGGACCAAACTTGGCACACAGAGCCCCCATGACCAGCAAAAAATACTGGAGATCTTTGGGGAAAATTCACCCTGATTTGAGGGAGTTGTAGTTCACATACATCCAGGGAGCACTGTGAACTCAAACACAGGTGGATCTGGACCACACTTGGCACACAAACCTGATATGCCCAAATTTGATTACTGGAGGGGTTTGTGATGAACTATTTCTGGGAGTTGTAGTTCACCCACAACCAGAGAAACTGTGACTTCCACCAATGATGGACCTGGACCACACGTGGCACACAGAAACCCCATGACTAACTCAACCTAATGGAGGGATTTGAGGGGACTGACTCACCATAGTGGGAATTGTAGTTTACCCTACAGCCAGAGAGCACACTGAACCCCACCGATGATACATCTTCTGGAGCAAACTTGCCCAGCATAACTTTAACCACACATGGAATTTCAGGGAGTTAACCTGGCATGATGTGTGTTGTAGTTCACCCACAACCTTATGCATTTTGAACAATTAAAAAAATACTTTTCCAGATGACCCTGGCAATGGCAGGTACCCAAGTAGTTTTTTATAAAACGAATGCACTAGTCACTTAAAAAAACCCACAGAGAAACATTTTAATGGCTCAGTTTCTTTACAGTACCACAATTCCAAACTTCCATATTTTCCAGGAAAGAAAAAAACATGTGTGTAGGGGTTGGATATTACACCAAAACACAAGGTGGTTTTTGTTTTGTTTTTTGAAATTATTTTCTTTTCTCCCTTTCCTACCCTTGCCCCACAGTCCATGTTTACCTTTGATATCCAACATCACTCACTTTGACTCAAAAGACAACTTTTTACAGGAAAATGTTCACTGAGTTCTTGTAACTGGGTGCCACTTCCTTCCCATGACACCAGATTAAAAAGTGGCGGGTCACTTTATCCCTCTTTTAAGATATTAACCGGTCGCCCTGAAGAGTAGCAATTCGTTTGAAGTGTCTTAATTGGGCACAATCTATTCTTGATTTTACTGATGGCCATCCAGATTCGGTGCACAGAAGCGCTGCAGGGGTTCCTTCTGGAAGAGAATAAAGCTTTCGTAGGAACTTGTTCTGCAGAATTTCCAGGGTTTTGCAAAGGTTGGTATCTGAACCCCAGATTTCTGCACCACTACCTGTGCTAGTACTTGACTGCTGAAAATTTTAAGGGCAGGTTCTATCAGCTGGCCACCTTGTGTATAGAAGAATTTCATTAGGGCACCTACTGTTTTCTGAGCTTTCAGCTTCACTGCTTCGCTGTGATGTTTCCAGGAAAGAGTTTGACTAAAAACAATTCCCAAGTACTTAAATAATTGGGTTTGTTCTATGGCATGTTGGTCTAACATCCATTTGTACCTGGGACAGTGTCTTCTAGAGAGACCACATTAATCAAATCGGTGAATAATGTTGAACCCATCAATATGAGAGATGCAACTGTAAAATCACAAAAACAGTGGATACATGTTTTCTCCATTGACACAAGTAAAAACTGAAGTTGCTCCTGAAATCATTTTTTTTGGTGAAAATCTCTCCCAAACAGTTCTGTTTACTGACAAGCAGCAAGTAGTCATTTCTGACTGTGGTTAAAATTTCCATGGTCTAAATCAGGGGTCCTCAAACTAAGGCCCATGGGTTGGATACGGCCCTCCAAGGTCATTTACCCGGTCCTCACTCAGGGTCAACCTAAGTCTGAAATGCCTTGAAAGCGCACAACAATGACAACAATCCTATCTCATCAGCCTAAAGCAGGCCCACACTTCCCGTTGAAATACTAATAAGTTTATATTTGTTAAAACTGTTCTTCATTTTAATTATTGTATTATTTCAAGGGGTGTTTTGCACTACAAATAATATATGTGCAACGTGCATAGGAATTCGTTCATGTTTTTTTTTTTCAAATTATAATCCGGCCCTCCAACAGTTTGAAGGACTGTGACCTGGCCCTCTGTTTAAAAAGTTTGAGGATCCCTGGTCTAAATATTTGGCACAGTGGCCCTTCTGCCTGGACTGCTTTATATCTGAAGACAGGTGTTTGCACACTCAGACTACACCACTCAATGTTTTCCCCCTTGTGTGGATCCTCTCGTGTTTAATCAGGTTTGACCGCCAGCTGAAAGACTTCCCACAATGAGAACATTTATAGGGCTTCTCCCCTGTATGGATCTGTTGATGCTGGAGGAGGTCGGAGCCACGGCCAAAACTTTTCCCACACTCTGAGCATTTATATGGCTTCCCCCTTTTGAGAATCCTCTGGTGCCTGAGAAGGTCAGAGCGATGCCCAAAGCTTTTTCCACAGTCTGAGCATTTGTAAGGTTTCTCCCCAGTGTGGGTCCGTTCATGCGCCAAAAGGCCCGAACTCTGGCTGAAGCTCTTTCCACACTCAGCACAAGTGTACGGCTTCTCCCCCGTGTGAGTTCTCAAATGTCGGACAAGGGCAGTGCGCTCGCAGAAGCTTTTCCCACACTCGCTACACCTGTACGGCTTCTCTCCTGTATGGGTTCTCTCATGGGCCAAAAGGCCGGAGCTTTGGCTGAAAGTTTTGCCACACTCCGTGCATCTGTATGGCTTTTCTCCCGTGTGCGTTCTCTCGTGTGCTGAGAGACCTGATCTCCGGTGAAAAGTCTTCCCACAATCGGGACAAGTGAATGGCTTTTCGCCAGTATGGGACCTCTCATGAGCCACAAGGGCTGAACTCTGGCTGAAACACTTTCCACACTCCCCACATTTATATGGCTTCTCCCCAGTGTGGATCCTCCCATGGGTGGTGAGATGTGACTTCCGGCTGAAGCTCTTCCCACACTCCATGCAGTCATAGGGCTTCTCCCCCGTATGGGTCCTCTGATGAGCAATGAGGTGCGACTTGCGGCTGAAGTTTCTGCCACACTCCGGACACCCGTATGGTTTCTCTCCAGTGTGGAGTCTCCGGTGCCTATATAGGCTTGAACTTTGCTTGAAGGTTTTCCCACAGTCCATGCACATCTTCACTCCCCCATAGTTATAGATTCTTGCTTGGACTCTGGGTTCTTTCAGATCCCAGTGGCCTTTGTCATATGTTTGGAGAGAGCTATCAAATCTTTTCTCTGCGTACTTTCCATCTTCCCTTATATCTGGGATCTTGTGACTTCCAGATGCTTCTGCAACACGCCATGATATGTCACCTCCAAAAGATAGCTCATCTGATTCTGACTCTTCTAGATTGAGGTTGTCCTCGTCCTCTTCCTCTTCTTCTTCATCCTCACTCAACTGTTCATCACCTGCCGAGATCAAGAGAAAATCGTAAGGTATAGAATTTGTGGCCAAACTAAATGTTCAAATCAGACAAATGAAACATTCCCCCCTAAAAATGTAGAAAAGCAGGCTTGAAAAAAGCATTAGGGGAAGCATCCCAATAGTAAACATCATTAAACAGTGGAATTGTTTGCCTTCACAGGTAAAAAAAAATCAAATCCTCACCAAGTGAGACTGTATCTTCCCCTTCCTCCTTCTTAAAGTGCTGTTTGCATTCTGTGTCAGATGGAGACTGCTCCGTGTCAGAAATATTTTCAATCATCACCTGAAATTAAGCATTGGAAAATAAGTTAGGAGAAAGAAGGAAAGAGTTGCAGAGGTACCATTATTCCATCATAGCCATTTTAATGTATTTTAATTGTTTGCCTCTTAATTGCTAATTATGTTATTAATTTAATTATGTGGTTTTAAAAATATTTTTTTATTGGTAACACATGGTTAATTTTACAATTTAATCAAATCAAAGATGCAGGAAAGGAAGGGTTATGGGAAAAGAGGGAAAAGAAAAGGAAGAAAAATGATAGAGGAAAAAACAACAAGAAACAACAACAAAGGGTATATTTGACTTCCATCTACTCCTTGGTGGTCATTCTATATATTCGTCATTATTTTAAAGTCCAAGACTCGGTCTTGTCTTTTCTTTATCTTCTTCACATCCCCTTTCTTTCAGTCTCAAATTTGTGAACATCTATTTCCCTATAATAAATTTTTCATTTAGATTATTAGTTCCATCTTTAGTCAATTGAAGTAGTCTTAGACTGGTTGCCAGTCAGGTTTGTTTGTTTGTTTGTTTTTTGTTGTTTGTTTTGTTGTTGTTTTGTGTTGTGTTTTGTTTGTTTGTAATCCTTGATTTGGTGCTATCAAGTATGTGAATCTATCCATAGTCATTATTTCCAGCATCTTGTTCTGTCAGTCTTCAATCAGAGGTGATGCTTTAAGCCTCCAGTTCCTTGCATATACTATCCTTGCTGCAGTAACTAGGTAGTTGAACAGGGTCTCTTTACTTCATTCATTTTACAAATCTAACATTCATGGTAGGAAGTATTCGGGTTCCATTTTTATTTTTAATATTCTCTGTATTTTTCATGTTTTTCTTTCCAGTATTTTTTTGCTTTTTCACTGGTCCGCCATGTATGGAAGAAGGTGCCTACCTGATTACTGCATAATTATGTTTATTTGATTATTTGCATTGTTTTTCATTTTGATGTTAATTTCTCTTTTGTTAGTAACATTATAACATTACAAAAACAATTAAGCACATATAATCCCCAATGTCTTCCCGTTAAACTCATTTTCCAGTGGAGGAAGCACTTCCCCAGAGCCAGAGATGAGCACCGCCTCCAGAAGCCAGAAATGAAAGGAGAAGCCTCTGCCTTTGTTTGTGTTTGTGTGTCTCATTGTATATGGTTGTAAAGGCACTGAATGTTTGCCTATGTATGTAAGTGCTGTAATTTGCTCAGAGTCCCCTAGGGGAGAAGGGTGGCATATAAATAAAGTGTATCCTCCTCCTCCTCCTCCTCCTCCATCATCATCATCATCATCATCATCATCATCATCCTCACCATCATCATCCCCAGAGAAGGCCCTTTTCCTATTATCAGCCAGCTGCACTTAGAAAAAAAGTCTTCTGAAGATAATCTTAAGAGTAGATATTTACTGAGTCCCACGGTGTCTGTAACTTAAAAGATCTCACTCAGCATTCTGAACTGGGTGCTAACTGGATCCAGCCTGCCTTACCTTTTGCTCCCATCTCTCCTTCTCCTGTTGCCTCAGCAGGAAATCCTCCGCCATGGCCACAACCTGGGCGCAAATCTCTGGGCTATGCTGCATGACCCAGGTCTCCATTTTTCAAGAAAATTAATCACTGTTGCTTCAGCAGACAATGTTCTGAAAAATGGAAAAGAATGGAAGGCAAAAAGAAGAGAAAATAAAAATTAAAAATGAGTTTTTAGATAATTGTCTACCACTCCCCTTCAACTGATTTGGGGTGAATATACTGCCTCCCCCATCCTCACAGTACTCCTAAGAGGTAAATTAGGTTGAAGAACACCATAAGAACCTGAAGGGCCAGGCTTAGCACAGTGAGTTAAACTGCCAGCTGCAGAAAATCTTGTTGATTGAAAGGTCGACAGTTCAAACCCGGGTTGGGGTGAGCTCCCAACCGTCAACCCACCTTCTGTTTACCTAGCAGTTCGAATACAGCAATGTGAGTAGATAAATAGGTACTGCTTTGGCAGGGAGGTAAAAAAAAGGCGCCCATGCAAACATTCTGACAATTCGATCAGGAGAGCGTCTAAGGACAACAAAGCTCCTCAGCATGGAAGATGGAGCAACAGCACCTCCGGTGGCCAGATTCGAGCACAGCCTCTAGATGCCAGAGGTTGAAAAAGATGGGAAGCCTTTACCTCTGTTTATGTACTCTCTGTACAGTGTTTCCTCGCTACTTCACGATTTGTTTTTAGCTGACTTGCTATTTCATGGTTTTTGAAAATATTAATAAAAAATATTGTCCAGTGGAGGCCAGGGAGGCCAGGGACCCCAGAAGTGCGGCGGCCTGAGGTGTGGCGGGGAAGGCCTGCTTCCCTGGCCTGCTGCTGCCTGTGTGGCTCAGGAGACTCTACAGAGGCCAGGGAGGCAGGTAGGTGTCCTTGGGATAGGCTGAGAGGTAGGTAAGGAAGCACAGGTAAGAAAATAATATATAAAATATATAAAATAATGTAGACATATTAAAATTAATATGATGTCTCTACTTCATGGATTTTCACTTATCACGTGTGGTCCTGGAATGGAATTCCCACGTTATAATTAACTGTATTTGTTAATTATATAACAGCATTCAATGTTTGCCATATCTGTGTGCCCTCGGAGAGATAGGGTGGAATATAAATAAAGTATATTATTATTATTATTATTATTATTATTATTATATCATCATCATCATCATCATCATCATCATCATCATCATCATCATCATTGTTATCTTATTAAGAGCCCTGCTGGATCAGACCCAAAGGCTATATTATTTTTCCCAAAACAGTCAAACAGGCACTTGTAGAAAGTCCACAAGCAGGACATGAAGGTAATGGAATATGCTGTTGCCTGTGAGTGTGGTGGAGTCTCCTTCTCTGATGGTCACCTGTTTGGAGTGTCTTAAAAGTGTCTTCTTGCATGGGAGGATGCAATTGGACTATATGGCTCTTGGGGTCTCTTCCAGATCTATTATTCTAGGATTCCTAAATTTAGGGACTCTTGTGTGCTTCATCCAGATAAGTACACTGTGTGGGAGACCACAGAAATTTATTTAAGCTGCAGTGAAAGGGGGTCTGGGGTCTCATGGCCATAAAACAAAAATATTCTTACACATTTCTGTATGGAAATCACAAAACATAGGGTAATACATCATGGCTACATCACTATTTAGTAGATCACATTTCTCGAAATATGTGTACTTGGCAGGCTTCACAAATGCATCTCATAATGATCCTTTACTTCACAAATGCATCTCATAATGATCCTTTATTGAATTTCTACTTCATGGTCAACCCATGGAGATGTTCGTTTTACCAAGGTAAAGAGCATAAATGTACTAAAGTTAATTCATTATGACACTGCTTGTACCTATCAACAAAAGCTTATATTTTCAGATCTCGGTATTCTATCGGAAAGACCAGTGGTCCCCAATTTGTGGTCCATGGACCACCAGTGGTCTACAAGAACAAAAATGTGGTCCACAGCTTCACTATTACTACACTGTTGCCTTGAAACCATGCAGCAACAAAAGCGACTGGTCTCACAAAACCCTCTTAAAGTGCCAAGGCAACGGGGATGTTGGGAGGGGAAAGGATAACTACCCACGAAAGATTACTAATACCACATCAGCTCTACATTAAAATATGGTTTTCTGTGGGTGAGCCGATGGTGACTACTGGATGGCATATGTTTGGTATCAGAAACTAGAGCTGATGTGGTCTAGCCAATGCAGATTTCTGAATCAGAATGCCAAGTAGCAAAACGGAATCTAAAGTTGACCAAAAACTGAATCGTAACCCTTTTGGAGAGTGGTCCCTGGTCAAAAAAATGTTGGGAACCACTGTCATATAAGAATCTTAATTATGCACCACCCCATTTGGTGGGTCTTTTAAAATTCGAGGACATCTTCTAGCTGAATTGTATGCAATCATAATGCAGATTACAGATAATAATCAGATATTTGTGGGTTTAACATACTCTGATTATTCCATTCTGTTGTCATCTACAAAATTCACAATCAAGAATTGTGCAATGGAGGTACAAAAACTAAAAAGCAAAAAATTCTTATTGCTTTAAATATGTTTACAATTTTGTGTTCGGTGACACCCAGAGGCAACCTCGGCAGCATGCAGCTTGTGGACCACAGGTTGTATAAGCTTGACCTACGCCGTAGAATTAATTCAGTTTGACACCACTTTAATTGCCATGGCTCAACACTATGGGAGCCTGAGACTTGGGAGTTTTGCAAGGTCTTTAGCCTTCTCCAAAAAAAGAGGCTGCTGGTGCCTCACCAAAAACAGCAATACCCGTGATTCAATAGCACCCAGCCATGGCAGTTCAAGTGGCATCAAACTGTATTAATTCTACAGTGCAGATGCTTTCTAGCTCCATAATTATGTGGTGCAAAGGGTCCTATTTGATCTCATCTTTCCCCCTGCAACAAGATGGATGCAAATTAGGTTTTTGTTTTTGTTTTTAATTTTCAKCAATTATTTTGAAAATTCACAAATAAGGATGCTCATGCAAAAAAAATAGAAATCTGAACATCTTGGGGTTTGGATTTTATTTTTCTCCAGAATGAGRATCCCCATTTTATTTTATATGAGATTATTTTTGCATTGGAGCTCCCAGTTCTCCCCATTTTTTGCTTGCACAGCTTTGCCTTCACTAACACCCCCCCCCCCCTTTCCTCCAGAAATTTACCTCTTCCTACAGCAGCAGAAGCCTTAGGAATATAGGGTCTGTTTTCAGGCGTTTCTTCCATCTACATCATCTTAAGGCCAGGATTTATTTTTTATATGGATGGGGGATTGCAAAATCCTAATACATAGAGCCTATCAGGAAAGAGCATTTGACAATCGCACGTTCCTTCTCCAGTTTCTGGCCACTCTATGAAAACTCAGCTCTGTTGGTTTAACCCTTGGGATAACTTCCAAGCCAAAGGAAATTAAATTGCTCCAGATCTACAATGTATATGCTTGCAGCACACACCCATTCCAGGCTTGATGTGGTTTTAATATGGGTTGAGCATCCCTTACCCAAAATGTTTGAGACTAGATGTGGTTTGGATTTCTGGGTTTGTTTTTGTATTTCTGAATTCTGCATTTTGCATATATGTCAGTGGCGCTGTGGGTTAAAACACTGAGCTGCTGAGCTTGTTGACCGAAAGGTCTCAGGTTCGATTCCGGGGAGCGGTGTGAGCTTCCGCTGTCAGCCCTAGCTTCTGCCAAGCTAGCAGTTCGAAAACATGCAAATGTGAGTAGATCAATAGGTACCGCTCCGGCGGGAAGGTAATGGCGCTCCATGCAGTCATGCCGGCCACATGACCTTGGAGGTGTCTATGGACAACGTCGGCTCTTTGGCTTAGAAATGGAGATGAGCACCACACCCCAGTGTCAGATATGACTGGACTTAATGTCAGGGGACAACCTTTACCTTTACCTTTTTACGCAAGTTTGAATCCGGGGAGCAGTGTGAGCTTCCTCTGTCAGCCCCAGCTTCTGCCAACCTAGCAGTTCAAAAACATGCAAATATGAGTAGATCAATAGATACCGCTCTGGCAGGAAGGTAATGGTGCTCCATGCAGTCATGCCACCCACCTGACCTTGGAGGTGTCTACAGACTACACCAGCTCTTTGGCTTAGAAATGGAGATGAGCACCAACCCCCAGAGTCGGACATGACTGGACTTAATGTTAGGGGAAAACCTTTACTTTTACCTATCTACATTATGAGATATCTTGGAGATAGTACCCGGATCTAAGTTCATATACCTTATATACATAGCCTGGGAATCATTTTATACACAATATTTATAATAATTTTGTGCATGGAACAAAGTTTGTGTACACTTTTTTATTTATCGTGCCAGAAGCCAATTGAGGTTACAGTTATAATGTATTTAAAGACACAAAGTTAAAAACTTGGCATTATACTAAATTACCTTTTATCAGAAGCTGGCCACTTGGAGTGCCTCTAGTGTTGCTATAAGAAGGTTCTCCTTTGTGCATATGGCAGGGCTCAGGCTGCATTGGAGTAGGTGGTCTGTGGTTTGCTCTTCTCCACACTCTACTTTGTAGTCCCATTTCTTCAGGTTGGTGCCAGAGTGCAGCCTATTCAGCACTTTCCAGGTCGCCCAGCCTTCTGTGTGGCCAAGAGGGGATCTCTCATCTGGTATCAACCACTTGTTGAGGTTTCAGGTTTTAGCCTTCCACTTTTGGACTCTCACTTGCTGAGGTGTTCCTGCGAGTATCTCTGTAGATCTTAGGAACCTGTTTCTTGATTTAAGTCATTGTCATACTGGCTTTTATCCAAGCAGAGGATGGGCCGGAAATGTCACTGCCTTGGTCCTTTTGATGGGGAGATATTGGAAATATAGATATTTATACATATATTGTATGTACATTACAAGCACAGAGATATAGAAAAAATCAGGTTCTCTCTGTATTCGGAAGTGTGAGGAAGTCGTTATTAAACTGCTGCCACCAATTGTAAAGAAGACTGTATTAATGCCACCGAATGCCACCAAATGTGAAGGCGCGCATGGTAAAACACCCACTGCCACCTAATCTATGAGGGAAGCTGGGCAACGATCAATATCAGCCTAGGAACTACTTTACAAAGGAACTGTTAATTACAGAAGGCTTTGTTTCAGTGATAGCGTAGCGTTTACTTTCCTGGCCTGACTTTACTATTCCAGGCTGTTCAGCTTATAAGGAACTGTATCAGGCAAGGCTTGAGGAAAAAGTAACAAGTTTATTTTAACAGGACTATAACAATGTATAACTGTTCTTCAAAAGAGGTACAAATCTTGATGGATACATTGGAAAGGTTTCATGAGTAAACTCAGGCAAGCACTTCATAAGGTTTCACAGCTGGCACAACAGGCTTAAACCCAGCCAAACCTTGATTCTTAATTCAGAATTAACAACCCCCTGTACCGGGTCCTTCTCTGCAACCACTTTGGTTACCAATTGATTCCCTGAATCTCCAAGAGATTCAGTTTTTTCCCTATAGCACACTGGCTACAGACACATTCCCTGAATCTCCACCAAAAGATTCAGTGTCCTCTCAGTAGCTCTCCGGCCACTGACTGACTTTTTAAAACACAGCTGCCTCTGAAGAGGCGGTTGGCTCCGCCCCTGTTGCTATGGCAACTTAGCTAACATCAAGCCACTCTCTCCAACAAAACATAATCTCCCATACTTCCCATTCTTAAACCATTGTCCAAACTACACATAACATCGTCACAGGAAGCCAAGCTGACAGGCCGGAAAAAATGCTGAAGGAGATCTGTGTTGAAAAGGGGAGGAGAAGGGGGGCATGTTATCTATACAGAGACTGGTATAGCATAGCACAGGCCATACCTCTTCTAAAAGTAAGGAATCGCCCTCCCTCCTGACAGGTCAAAGTAGGCCCATTGATGGATTGGTGTAGCTGTAAACTGCTCTTAGAAAAAAAAATATAGAGACATGCCTCTTGCATGTAGAAGATATAATTTGATATTTCTATGATGCTAAAGTGACGTCGTGATAATGTTAACATATGTAGAAGCATGTTTCTTTGTTTGCCTGCATTTGAAGATGTATAAAAAAAGGAAAATCAACGCCTTTATCCCCCCAGGGTCTCAGCTGAAAATAAACGTATTTTTCTGTCTCCCAGAAAGGATCACTCTTGGTATTATCTCTCCTATCTGCTGCTACACTTTCATTACAGGCTTCTACTTCCCAACGGATGTCAGGTGGTGCAATACCGGCTAAACAGTATAGTTTCTCCGGTGATGTAGGGCGTAGACATCCTGTGATAATGTAGCATGTCTTATTAAGTGCCACATCCACAGTTGTAATGTGGTGAGACGTATTCCACACTGGGCACACATATTCAACAGCAGAGTAGCAAAGTGCAAGGGCAGATGCCTTCACTGTGTCTGGTTGTGATCCCCAGGTTGTACCAGTCAGCTTTCGTATGATGTTATTTCTAGCACCCACTTTTTGCTTGATAATCAACCAGAGCTTCTTGTAAGTCAGAGCACAGTCCAGGGAAACACCCAAGTATTTGGATGTGCTACAACGGTCCAGTGGGATTCCTTCCCAGGTAATCCTCAGAGCTCGAGATGCTTGTCTGTTCTTAAGATGGAAAGCACATGTTTGCATTTTAGATGAATTAGGAATCAGCTGGTTTTCCCTGTGTAAACTGAACCATCAGAAAGGTATAACTCTGGCCCCCATTTACACTGACTATATAATGCAGTTTTTATTATATAGTCAGTGTAAATGGGTCCTATCTTAACCTTATCTAAGACCATTTTGGAATACAAGGGATGCCTAACCTGTGTTCCTGTAGGTGAAAGTTACACAGGTACAGTGTTCCTCTTTTATTAAAAAAAGCTCCACCTGTTCAATCGCCTATCTGCTGTTTTGTTTGTTTTGAAAAAAGTCAAGGAATCCTGTTCAGCGCAGCTTTTTAAAATGACTTTTTTTTTGGACTATAGATTCCTAAATTCTGTAGACCAGAGCTTTCCAAACTGCGTTGCACCAACAAAATAACAAAAATCTTGGAAATGTATATTATTGTTACACTCCAGGAAATACCTATGACGGTTGCACCACACAGGAGTCCAGGAATATAAGCAAACAGTTTTGTAAAAACATATAAAAAGCATGTAAAAATCAACAATAAGGACAAAAGATATATAATCCAAAAAGGTTTGACATCTAGATCCGGCACAGTCTGGCTTCAGGCCGGGACATGGTACAGAGACAGCCTTGGTCGCCTTAGTTGATGATCTCCGTCGGGAGCTCGACAGGGGGAGTGTGTCCTTGGTGCTGCTGGACCTCTCAGCGGCCTTCGATACCGTCGACTACGGTATCCTTCTGGGACGCCTCGCGGGGATGGGTCTTGGAGGTACTGCTCTGCAGTGGCTCCGGTCTTTCCTCGAGGGTCGGTCTCAGAAGGTGTTACTGGGGGACTCCTGTTCTACCCCACAACCTTTGCATTGTGGGGTTCCTCAGGGTTCAATACTGTCTCCCATGTTGTTTAACATCTACATGAAGCCACTGGGCGAGATCATCCGGAGTTTCGGGGTGCGGTGTCATCTGTACGCAGATGATGTCCAACTCTGTCACTCCTTCCCACCTGCTACTAAGGAGGCTGTCGAAGTCCTGAACCGGTGCTTGGCTGCTGTGACGGTCTGGATGGGGGCGAACAAATTGAAATTGAATCCAGACAAGACAGAGGTACTCCTGGTCAGTCGTAAGGCCGAACAGGGTATAGGGTTACAGCCTGTGTTAGACGGGGTCGCACTCCCCCTGAAGACGCAGGTTCGCAGTTTGGGTGTGATCCTGGACTCATCGCTGAGCCTGGAACCCCAGGTTTCGGCGGTGACCAGGGGAGCTTTCGCACAATTAAAACTTGTGCGCCAACTGCGACCGTACCTTGGGAAGTCTGACTTGGCCACGGTAGTCCACGCTCTGGTTACATCCCGTCTCGACTACTGCAACGCTCTCTACGTGGGGTTGCCTCTGAAGACGGCCCGGAAGCTCCAACTAGTCCAACGGGCGGCAGCCATGGTTTTAACAGGAGCAGGGCGCAGGGAGCATACAACTCCTCTGCTGTACCAGCTCCACTGGCTGCCGATTAGCTACCGAGCCCAATTCAAAGTGCTGGCTTTGACCTTTAAAGCCCTAAACGGTTCTGGCCCTACATACCTATCCGAACGCATCTCGCTCTATCAGCCCACCAGGACCCTAAGATCTTCAGGAGAGGTCCTTCTCTCTATCCCACCTGCTTCACAGGTGCGGCTCGTGGGTACGAGAGATAGGGCCTTTTCTGTGGTGGCCCCCCGGCTTTGGAATGCCCTCCCTATGGAAATAAGATCAGCCACCTCGCTAATGGCATTTCGGAAAAAACTTAAAACTTGGATGTTCCAGCAAGTTTTTGGCTAACTTGACTTGATGATGTTTGTTCATGGATTAGCAACCTCGGACGACGAATTGGATTGTTGACGTTAATAATGAGATGTTCTGGACTGTATTGGTGGCCCAATACTATGTATGTATATGTATGTATTTTATAGTGTAATTTTTATATTAAATTGTAATATTGTAGTTTTAATTATGCTGTAAACCGCAATGAGTCGCCATACAGGCTGAGATATTGGCGGTATATAAGCGCACCAAATAAATAAATAAAATAAATAAATTCCAGCTTTTCCGGCTTCATGAGACCCGATTCCAGCCATGGGGGAGCTGCCGCTTCACTGTCCACTTGTGACACTGAGTCCTTTGATGGAGTACTTCCTCATTCTTCTCCACACTGCTGGAAAGTTTTATGATGTCATAAATTAGTTAAATTAGCCTCCTCGATGCGGTACCTAAATTTCCTACTTGACAGATGCAACTGTCTTCGGGCTGCATAGGTCAACAGCAAGCTAGGCTATTAATGATCGGGAGCTTACTCCGACCGGGGCTGGCTTCGAACTCATGACCTCTCGGTCAGTAGTGATTGAATGCAGTTGGCTACTAACTAGCTACGCAACAGCACGGTGGCGTAGCTAGTTACTTACTTACTTACTTAGGTGATCCTTCGATCCAAGATCAGTGTACTGGCGGTGTATCCGTAGGTGACTGTGGAGCCCTATTCTTGATTTGCATGTTCTCCCGCAGTGAGGGCATTGGTTTCCAGGTGGAAGATGGTCCCGGTCGAGGTTGACTTGATGTGCCTTCCTCTTGGCACATTTCTCTCTTTCACCCTCCACTCCTGCCTCTTCAAATTCTACAGCACTGCTGGTCACAGCTGACCTCCAGATGGAGCGCTCAGTTCTCTGTGTCTATGCCAGAGTTTTAAAGGTTGACTTTGAGCCCAGCTAGTTAGTAAAGCGTCGACTAACTAGATAGAGGGTTGACTAACTGGATAGAGTGCCGACTGTATTTGAGTAAAAAGTATGATAACAAGGGGGGGGGGGGGGAATCAGGACATTTTAGATTTGAGAAATCTCCCCTTCAATAGTATATCCATCCCCTTGCCAACTTCTGGTTAGCCTTTTTTGGTGAGTAAGTGAAAGGGTTAAAGGGACAAAGCTGTAACTCCTAGACATGGGCAGAGAAGGCATTCCTTTCAAGCTGGGAACCCATTCCCCTTCCGGCCCCCCTCCTTCTCCTCTTGCAGGCAGGCTGGAAAAAAATGGAATAGCCTTCTGGATGCATTCCCAGCCCTTTTCGTGGCATTTGAGATTGCAGATTGGCCAAGGCTGGAGCACAAGCCAAGGAGTGAGTTAAGACACAGGGGAAAGGGGCTGGGAGGGTGGTGGAGGGAAACTTGAGATGGAAAGCATGCAGCAGCACAAAAGGACAGGAAAGTGGAGGGTGGGGGGGGGCATGGGGTGCCTCTCTATACCAGGTATGGGCAGTTAGGAATTGTGGGAGTTGCAGTCCAAAACACCTGGAGGGCTAGAGTCTGCCCATGCCTGCTCTACACAGTAGAATGTACAGTATGCAGTTCGACACTGCTTTAATAGCCATGATTCAATGATGTGGAATCACTGGAGTTCTATTATTATTATTATTATTATTATTATTATTATTATTATCATCATCAACTATATAAATAAAAATGTAATCATAGAATCATAGAATCAAAAAGTTGGAAGAGACCTCATGGGCCATCCAGTCCAACCCCCTGCCAAGAAGCAGGAATATTGCATTCAAATCACCCCTGACAGATGGCCACCAGCCTCTGTTTAAAAGCTTCCAAAGAAGGAGCCTCCACCACACTCCGGGGCAGAGAGTTCCACTGCTGAACGGCTCTCACAGTCAGGAAGTTCTTCCTCATGTTCAGATGGAATCTCCTCTCTTGTAGTTGAAGCCATTGTTCTGCGTCCTAGTCTCCAGGGAAGCAGAAAACAAGCTTGCTCCCTCCTCCCTGTGGCTTCCTCTCACATATTTATACATGGCTATCATATCTCCTCTCAGCCTTCTCTTCTTCAGGCTAAACATGCCCAGCGCCTTAAGCCGCTCCTCATAGGGCTTGTTCTCCAGACCCTTGATCATTTTAGTCGCCCTCCTCTGGACACATTCCAGCTTGTCAATATCTCTCTTGAATTGTGGTGCCCAGAATTGGACACAATATTCCAGTGTTGGACTGACCAAGACAGATTAGAGGGTGAGCATGACTTCCCTGGATCTATACACCAGACTCCTAATTTATGCAGGCCCAAATCCCATTGGCTTTTTAAGCTGCCACATGACATTGTTGGCTCATGTTTAACTTGTTGTCCACGAGGACTCAAAGATCTTTTTCACACGTACTGCTCTCGAGCCAGGCATTGTCCCCCATTCTGTATCTTTGCATTTCGTTTTCCTGCCAAAGTGGAGTATCTCGCATTTTTCCTCATTGAACTTCATTTTGTTAGTTTTGGCCAATCATCTCTCTAATCTGTCAAGATCGTTTTGATTCCTGCTCTTGTCCTCTGGATTGGCTATCCCTCCCAATTTGGTGTCGTCTGCAAACTTGATGATCCTGCCTTCTAACTAATGTTTGTGGGATTAACATAACTCAAAAACAACTAGGTGAACTGACACCAAATTTGGTCACAAGATACCTACTAACCCAAGGAGTGACCATCACTTAAAAATTATTATTATTATTGTTTTTATCTATATAAATAAAAATGTAATGTTCGTTTGAGGGATTAACATAACTCAAAAACCACTAGATGAATTGACATGACATTTGGACACGAGACACCTTCTAACCCAAAAAGTGACCATCATTAAAAAAAATTGATTTTGTCATTTGGGAGTTGTAGTTGCTGGGATTTATAGTTCACTTACAATCAAAGAGCATTCTGAACTCCACCAATGATGGAATTGAACCAAACGTGGCACACAGGACTCCCATGACCAACAGAAAACACTAGAAGGGTTTGGTGGGCATTGACCTTGAGTTTGGGAGTTGTAGTTCACTGACAGTTCAGCAGTGGAACTCTCTGCCCCGGAATGTGGTGGAGGCTCCTTCTTTGGAAACTTTTAAACAGAGGCTGGATGGCCATCTGTCAGGGGTAGTTTGAATGCAATATTCCTGCTTCTTGGCAGGGGGTTGGACTGGATGACCCATGAGGTCTCTTCCAACTCTTTGATTCTATGATTCTATGACATCCAGAGAGCACTGTGGACTCAAACAATGATAGATCTGGACCAAACTTGGCACGAATATTCCATATGCCCAAATATGAACACAGATGGAGTTTGGGGGAAATAGACTTTCCATTTGGGAGTTGTAGTTACTGGGATTTATAGTTCACCTACAAACAGAGAGCATTCTGAACCCCACGAACTGGTTACCCACAAGCATAGAGAAATTACATATATTAGAAGCCAACACTTTCTCATTACTTTATTTTCTAGATCACCAGACTGGGCCACAGCAACACATGTCAGGGGACAGCTAGTTATTATTATTATTATTATTATTAATAATAATAATAATAATACAAACTTTATTTATACCCTGCCACCATCTCCCCGAAGAGACTTGGGGCAGCTAACATGAGGCCAAGCCCAAGAATTATTATTATTATTATTATTATTTATTTGGAGTGCTTCTAGCCCGCCCTTCTCAACCCCCTAGGGGGACTCAGGGCGGCTTACAATTGCAATAAGGCAAAATAAAATACATGCAGTAAACAATAACATCAAACAAAATGTGAAGAATAACCAAATAATACAATAAAGTAAAAACAATAACATAATAGCACATAGTATAAGGTAAAATAGAATTAAACAGGGCGAGCTGGCCAAATGCAAAGGGTAAAATTATATAATTATAAAACCCCTGGGTGAGATAGATAAATAGAATGGTGTGTCTTGTGGGAGACTCGGATAGGGTTTCTTCACTGAGGGAAGAGATAAAGTGCACCAGAAGGACAAATTTGCACTGGGGCGGGCATGATATGGGTGATTTGCTATTCATTCCTCAAAAGCACGCTGGAAAAGCCAAGTTTTTAGATATTTCCTAAAGACTGCCAGGGTGGGTGTTTGCCTGATCTCCCTGGGGAGCGAGTTCTAGAGCCGAGGGGCCACCACAGAAAAGGCCCTCTCCCTCATCCCCACAAGCCATGCTTGAGATGGAGGCAGGAGCGAAAGGAGGGCCTTGTCCAAAGATCGAAGAGATCACACAGGTTCATAGGAGGAGATGAGATCATGAGTCCCCTGCTCCTAACCCCAACAGTCATGGAGGGTATTAGTTATCCCAAAAACGGTGTGGCATCCTATTTAATAACACTGAATCTCTTTTCCAGACCTGTCTCCAAGGATAAATACAAAAATGGAGGAAGAAGACTTGGCAGGAACTAAGGAACCAGAGGAGAGATTGGAGAAGGAAGGAGGAGACCACACTGTTGTTCAAGAAGAAACCATTGCAAAGTTGGTGACTAAAGCAACTCTGCAGCATGTTAAAGAGGAATTGGAAGAGAGGCTACAACAGGGCTGGGAGGCCCACTGGTCTGAGTTCATGAACACCCCGCAGTCCCGTTGTCCAAGATGGAAAGACATATCATCTGGGCCAGCTTCTAAAGAATTGCCAGCATTCACTCAAAAGGTGGCTGAGGTGTGCCAATTGCCTGGGAAAGGGTATGCAACCAAGACGGTGCCAGGCCCCTCTGATAAGAATATCAAGGCCTATGAAAGTCCAGGCTTTCCTATGGAGCTGAAAGAGGAAGTTCTGGATGACAACACCCTCGATTTGGAGACACGACGTCAGCAGTTCCGGTGCTTCTGCTACCATGAAGCCGATGGACCCCGAGAGGCCTTCCACCAGCTCTGGAAGCTTTGCCACGGGTGGCTGAAGCCAGAGAGATGCAGCAAGGAGCAGATCTTGGACTTAATCGTCCTGGAGCAGTTTCTGACCATCCTGCCCTCCGAGATTCAGAGCTGGATCCGAGAGAACTGTCCAGAGACATGTTTGGAGGCCGTGGCCCTAGCAGAAGACTTCTTGACCAGACCACTGGAGGGTGAGGGAAGCCAGGCAAGTCTTTCTTACGCCCCAACTACACCAACCATGTGTGATAGGAAACAGATTAATCTAAGAGGTCCAGATAATCTAAGAGGTTCCAGCCTGGAACCCCAGGTCTTGGCGGTGGCCGGGAGACCTTTTGCACAATTAAAGCTTGTGCACCAGCTGCGCCGTTCCTTGGGAAGTCTGACTTGGCCACGGTGGTCCATGCTCTGGTTACATCCTGAATAGACTACTGCAATGCTCTCTACATTGGGCTGCCTTTGAAAACTTCTCGGAAGCTTCAATTAGTCCAATGGTCGGCGGCCACGTTGTTAACTGGAGCTGCGTACAGGGAGCATACCACTCCTCTGTTGCGCCAGCTCCACTAGCTGCCGATCAGCTTCTGGGCACAATTCGAAGTGCTGCTTTTAACCTTTAAAGTCCTGAACGGTTTTGGCCCAGATTACCTGTCCGAATGTATCTCCTGCTATGAACCATCACGAAGCTTAAGATAATCAGGAGAGGCCCTGCTCTCGATCCCACCACTCTTGCAAACGTGGTTGGTGGGGATGAGAGACAGGGCCTTCTCGGCAGTGGCCCCCCGTCTGTTGAACTCTTTCCCTAAGGACATCAGGTTGGCCACCTCCCTCCTGTCCTTTAGAAAACAACTGAAGACCTGGCTCTGGGGGCAGGTGTTCGATTAGAGGCCAGCGGCAATAGGAAAAGGAAATTTGGATTTTGCGACATTGATTCTTCTGGCTCGGCTTGGTTTTTACTGCCATGTTAATCTATTAATTTATTGTTAAATTTTACTGAAGATGTTGTACAATGTTTTAAAATGATTTTATTGTGAACTGTAATTTTTATGGTATTTATGCTGTTAGCATCCTCTGATGCTCATGTGAGGCCGCGCTGAGTCCCCCTTGTGGGGAGAAGGGCGGGATATAAATATATGAAATAAATAAATAAATAAAGTTTCAGGTTAATCCTTCAATCTGGAATAAACCTGATTATCCAAGAATCTTTAGGTCCTTTGGTGCAGTTCCGATGATCAACTTCCACTGGAAGCTAACCATATAATCATTCTGGAGGACCCACACATGCCTAGAGATGTGTTCTTTCTAGGAATCTCTAAGTTCTCCATCATGATTCTAGCAAAAGTTGCTATTCCTAAATTAAAGTGTAATTCCAAATAGTCCTCCAAGAGAGTTGTAAGTTTTTCGGGCTGACATTTTGCCTGCATCCGTGGCAAGCATCCTCAGAGGTTGTGAGGTCTGTTGGAAACTAGGAAAATTGTGTTTATATATCTGGAAAATCCAGGGTGGGAGAAAGAACTCTTGTCTGTTGGAGCTAGGTGTGAATATGTCAATTGGCCACCTTGATTAGCATTTGATGGCCTGGCAGTTTTTAGGTGTGGCTTGTTGGTGCCTGGGGGAATCCTTTGTTGAGTTGTGATTAGCTGTCCCTGATTGTTTCTTGTCTGGAGTTCCCCTATGTTTGAGTGTTGTTCTTTATTTGCTGTTATAATTTTAGAGTTTTTAAGTACTCGTCGCCAGATTTTGTTCATTTTCATGGTTTCCTCCTTTCTGTTGAAATTGTCCACCTGCTTGTGGATTCCAATGGCTTCTCTGTGTAGCTGACATGATAGTTGCATTTCTGTGTTCTCAACTGATATGCTGTGTCCAGGTTGGCTCATTAGGTGCTCTCCTATGGCTGACTTCTGGTTGAATGAGTCTGCAGTGGCTTTTGTGTTCCTTGATGCATGTTTGGGCAATGCTGCTGTGTTTGGTGGTCCCTCTGTAGACTTGTCCACAGCTGCATGGTATACGGTAGACTCCTGCAGAGGTGAGAGGATCCCTCTTGTCCTTTGCTGAACGTAGCATTTGTTGGATTTTCTTAGTGGGTCTGTAGATAATTTGTAGGTTGTGTTTCCTCATCAGCTTCCCTATGCTCAGTGGTTCCCTTGATGTATGGCAAGAGGTGCAGCCACTTCCAGAATCCACATCCTTCTACACTGCCATATCAAATCCAGATTATTTTCTTTGAACTGAATTATATGGCTGTATAGACTCATACAATCCAACTAAAAGCAAATAATGTGGAATATCCGCTTTGATAATCTGGATTATATGGCAGTGTAGAAGGAGCCTGAGTTCCTTTCCTGAGAGCATAGAATTGAAATATTTGACTACAGAGATGAGATTTTTCTTCTCCTACTCCAGAAAGGAAGCCAAAGCCAAACAGGTTTAATTAAAGGAATTGAGTCGAATCACCAAACCATAACTCCCAGGATTCCATAGCACTGCGCCATGGCAGTTCAAGTGGTGTCAAACTGCATTCATTGTACAATGGTAGATGCATCCTGGACTGCCTCTTCCTTGCTGGAAGTCTTCAATCAAAAGCTGGGCAGCCACTTGTTCTAACTCTAGATTTCTTGCACTGAACAGGAAATTGGATCAAATGGAATATAAGGCCTTGTCAAAAATTTGTGATACAGCCAAGTTCTTTTTGTTTGATCTAGGTGTATTGTCGAAGGCTTTCATGGCTGGAATCACTGGGTTGTTGTAGGTTTTTCGGGCTATATGGCCATGTTCTAGAAGCATTCTCTCCTGATGTTTCGCCTGCATCTGATCTAGAATGGCTTGAATGCTGATTTGTAAAGTGCCCAGTTTCATTCACACCTCCAACCATCTTTCTCTCCAGGTTCACTTTGTGTCTCAAAATGGTATCTCCCATTTCTGTTTCAGATACTGGCACCTTTGAAAGATGTGGGTGCTCATTCGGCCACACTGGAACAAGATCCATCGGAAGCCAGGCTAAAACGACAATTGATTGCTGATCTCAAGAAAAGAGATGCTCAGGAGGCTATCTTACTGGGTATGTGTCATCATGTGTCTTTTCAAATAGTGCTAGACTCCTAGTCTTCACCGCTGGTGGTGGTGTTGGCAATGTATGCAGGGAGTCCCTGCATCCTATCCATTACCCATTCAGTGACATCTAGAATACTACACAATTCTAACCTTTTATTTAGATCTCTACAAATGTTAACAATATTAAGACATGGTAAGGATATTTCTTATATACATCATTGTGCGCCCTTGAGTCATTTCCAACTTCTGTCAAGATTTGTTCAGAAGGGTGTTGCTTTTGCCTTCCTCTGAGGCTATTTATTTATTTATCGTGTCAGAAGCAAGCTGAGGGTACAGTTATAATGTATTTAAAAACACAAACAAGGTTAAACTTGGCATTGTACTAAATGTCCTTTGACCAGAAGCTGACCACTTGGAGTGCCTTTGGTGTGGCAGTAAGAGGGTCCTCTATTGCACATATGGCAGGGCTCAGGCTGCATTGTAGTAAGTGGTCTGTGGATTCCACTTTGTAGCCCCATTTCTTAAGGTTAGCTCTGCACCTCATGGTGCCAGAGTGCAGTCTGTTCAGTGCCTTTCAAGTCGCCCATCCTTCTGTGTGCCCAGGAGGAAGCCTCTCATCCAGTATCAGCCACTGATTGAATTTCCAGATTTTAGCCTGCCACTTTTGGACTCTCGCTTGCTGAGGCTTCTGCGAGTATCTTTGTAGATCTTAGAAAACTGTTTCTTGATTTAAGGCATTGACGTGCTGGCTGATCTCTGAACAGAGGATGGGCTGGGATATTACTGCCTTGGTCCTTTCATTTTTGGCTGCTACTTCCCGGCGGATGTCAGGTGGTGCAATACCAGCTAGATAGTATAATTTCTCCAGTGGTGTAGGGTGCAGACAGCGTGTGATAATGCGGCAAGTCTCATTAAGAGCCACATCCACTGTTTTAGCGTGGTGAGATGTGTTCCACACTGGGCATGCATACTCAGCAGCAAAGTAGTAAAGCGCAAGGGTAGATGTCTTCACTGTATCTGGTTGTGATCCCCAGGTTGTGCCAGTCAGCTTTGTACTAATGTTGGAGAATGGTCCCTGGTCCAAGTAGTCCCTGGTCAAAAATAGGTTGGGAACCACTGCACTACAGCATCTATCCACTTTAAATTCTGTGGCTGCCTCCTGCCATATTCTGGGGTTTGTAGTTTTTTTTTGTGGGGGGAGGGGTCAACAGTGCCCAGCTAGAGAGGTCCTGGGCCTTGCTAAACTGGAAATTCCAGAATTCTGCAGGCAGCAGCCATAGGATTTATAGTGGATAGATGCTCTAATGTGATGAGGTCCCTTGATAAGGTGCATCTACAATGTAGATCTCCCCACTGTTACACTGGGCACAGTTTAAAGAATTTGTCTTTATGAGGTATAAAATATCCATGGTCTTCATTACCAGCTGGAGGATTCTGGAAATTTTAAGCTCCCCAAAAGTAATTTGTCCAAGCTTTACCCATTGTGTGAGACAACAAATGGTCCTGAAGATTCTGGGAGTTTTTGCACCTCCCAAAGAAGCTATGGGTTATGACTAAGGTATTTTATTTCATTCCACCAGGTGATGATCAAATGAGAACAAAAGAAAGAAGAAATCTTTGTCTGGAAAGATCCAAAACAGTGGAACTCAAGGAGACATCATTGGGAAGAGGCAAAGGAAATCTCTTCTCGTTTCACACCGAGGAAGAGGTAGTGCTTGGGAAACAGCCAGAATCCAAAGTCCTTCAAAACTATGAAACCAGGAAGGAAGCTAAAGGGATCTTGCCTTCTGAGGAAGTCTCTGGAAGCACAGCAAGCAAAGAGGCACACCAGCAGAAAACCAAAAAAACCTGCACAGAATGTGGAAACCCATGCGAGGTCTTTGATCTCCCTGAAAATCAGAAAACACAAGTGGAAGATGAGTTTTACATCTGCCCCCGTTGTGGGAAGACTTTCAAGAATGGTGCATCCCTCGTGCCAAAGCAAGGGACCTTAGCTGTGGCCAAACCCTACCCTTGCTCCGAATGCGGCAAAAGCTTTGGCACAAAAGCGTCTCTCTTGAAGCACAAGGGGACCCACTCAGGGGAGAAACCGTACGTTTGCTCTGAGTGTGGAAAGTGCTTCACCACAAGCTCGAATCTGATCTACCACAACATCGTCCACACGGGAGAGAAGCCACACAAGTGCTCAGACTGCGGCAAGAGCTTCCACTGGAAGTCGTCCCTGATTACTCACGAGCGGACCCACACAGGGGAGAAGCCGTACGAGTGCCCTGACTGCGGCAAGAGCTTTGGCAACAGCTCCCAGCTTCTGCGGCACAAGCGGGTGCACACGGGCGAGAAGCCGTACCACTGCTCCGAGTGCGGTCGCAGCTTCAACCAGATTGCTTCTCTGATTGCACACAAGCGGATCCATACGGGCGAGAAGCCGTACGAATGCTCCGAGTGTGGAAAGGGTTTCGGCACCAGGACAAACCTGATGATGCACAAACGAGTACACACCGGAGAGCGGCCATATAAATGCTCGTATTGCGGACAGAGCTTCAGCCAACGGACCCACCTGATCATCCACGAGCGGACCCACACAGGAGAGAAGCCCTACACGTGCCCCGAATGTGGGAAAAGTTTCAATGCCAAAGCCCCGCTCATCACCCACCGAAAGACTCACACAGGAGAGAATCTTTACCAGTGCTTCCAGTGTGGAAAAAGCTTCAGCACCAGTTCGAACCTCTTGAATCACAACATAATCCACACAGGGGAGAAGCCCCATAAATGCTCAGACTGCGGCAAATGCTTCAATCGGAAATCCTCCCTCATTACACACCAGAGGACCCACACGGGGGAGAAGCCCTATGCCTGCTTTGAGTGTGGGAAACGTTTCATTTCGAGCTCAGATCTTACGAAACATAAAAAGGTGCACAGGGGGAAGCATGCAGTCGGTGCTGAAACCTTTGTTTATAGTCCAGAGCTGGCAGAGCCAGGCACCATACACCCTGGAGAGCAGCCATCTTAGGTTCAAAATAAGAGATGCTCCTGGCAGGGCCAAGTCTTTAAATATGAGTCATGTGTGACATGAAGGAGGTGCTGATTTTAAGAGCAAAAGGGGAAGAGAAGATTATCCTTCTAACTTCTTTACAGCCCACATTTGGACTTTTACATTTCAGATTTGACTTTTGTGGATTTGATTATTGTGAAGGAGGTCCGTTATTAAACTGCTGCCACCAACTGTGACGATGACCGTTTTAATGCCACCGAATACCACCAATTGTGAAGGTGCACGTGGTAAAGCACCCACTGCCACCTTATCTATGAGGGAAGCCGGGCAACGATCAATATCAGCCTAGGAACTATTTTATAAAGGGACTGTTTCTGGCTGACTTTATTATTGCAGGCTGTTCAACTTAGAAGAAACTGTATCAGGCAAGGCTTGAGGAAAAAGTAACAAGTTTATTTTAACAGGAGTATAACAATGTATAACTGTTCTTCAAAAGAGGCACAAATCTTGATGGATACATTGGAAAGGTTTCATGAGTAAACTCAGGCAAACACTTCATAAGGTTTCACAGCTGGCACAACAGGCTTAAACCCAGCCAAACCTTGATTCTTAATTTAGAATCAACAACCCCCTGTACCGGGTCCTTCTCTGCAACCACTTTGGTCACCAATTGATTCCCTGAATCTCTAAGAGATTCAGTTTTTCCCTATAGCACACTGGCTACAGACACATTCCCTGAATCTCCACCAAAAGATTCAGTGTTTTCTCAGTAGCTCTCCGGCCACTGACTGACTTTTTAAAACACAGCTGCCTCTGAAGAGGCGGTTGGCTCCGCCCCTGTTGCTATGGCAACTTAGCTAACATCAAGCCACTCCCACAAAACATAACCTCCCATACTTACCATCCCTAAACCATTGTCCAAACTACACATAACCAAAGGAATAAAATTTACACATCGTCACAATTATTATTCATGGATTTGATTAAAATGTTCTCTCTAGGAATCTCTAGGTCAGTGGTTGTCAACCTGTGGGTCCCCAGGTGTTTTGGCCTACAACGCCAGAAATCCCAGCCAGTTTACCAGCTGTTAGGATTTCTGGGAGTTGAAGGCCAAAACTTCTGGGGACTCACAGGTTGAGAACCACTGCTCTAGGTCATTCTCATCAAGGCCACAGGTTGCCTTCAAAGGTCAGTTGAATCCATAGACCAGTGTTTCTCAACCTTCCTAATGCCGTGACCTAATACAGTTCCTCATGTTGTGGTGACCCCCAAATATAAAATTATTTTTGTTGCTACTTCATAACTGTAATTTTGCTACTGTTATGAATCATAATGTAAAAACCTGATATGCAGGATGTGTTTCCATTCACTGAACTAAATTTGGCCAAATACCCAATATGCCCAAATCTGAATACTGGTGGGTTTGGAGGGGGGATTGATTTTGTCATTTTGGAGTTGTAGTTGCTGGGATTTATAGTTCACCTACAATCAAAGAGCATTCTGAACTCCACCAATGATTGAATTGAACCAAACCTGACACACAGTGCTCCCATGACCAACAGAAAATACTGGAAGGGTTTGGTGGGCATTGACCTTGAGTTCTGGAGTTGTAGTTCACCTACATCCAGAGAGCACTGTGGACTCAAACAATGATGGATCTGGACCAAACTTGGCATGGATACTCAATATGCCCAAATGTGAACATTGGTGGTGGAGTTTGGGGAAAATAAACTTTGACATTTGGGAGTTGTAGTTGATGGGGTTTATAGTTCACTTACAATCAAAGAGCATTCTGAACCCCACCAATGATAGAATTGGGCCAAACTTCGCACACAGAACCCCCATGATCAACGGAAAATACTGTTAGTTCTGTATTGTTGAAGGTTTTCATGGCTGGAATCACTGGGTTGTTGTAGGTTTTTTCGGGCTATATGGCCATGTTCTAGAGGCATTCTCTCCTGACATTTCACCTGCATCTATGGCAAGCATCCTCAGAGGTTGTGAGGTCTCACAACCCACTGATATTTCTGATGGTCTTTGGAGACCCCTCTGACACTTCCTCGCAACCTCCCCCAAGGGTCTTTACCCCGAGGTTGAGAAACACTGCCATAGATGGAGATGCAGTGGACATGGGGCCAACTATAATTTTTTTACCTAGTGGCCGGTGGTCTTTCATGTTTACCCAATTTGAGTCCCCAAATTTTACCCAATTTATGTTCAACGGATCTTTGAAGATGTCACCGAATTACAGCTCTCATCACTCTTGATTATCCACCATGTGGACTGGAGATAAGGAGAATTGCAATCCAAGAGCATTTTAAAGTCGGACATCCACAAGCCTTCCATCTAATTTCAGACCCCACTCCCCTACTAAACAGAACTGCAGCCTTCCAGATCACACTGTATCACAACTCCCATCAGCTCTAGTCATGATGTCAAATGATGCAGTTATTGTAGTCCACATAAAATGACCTGATTGAGCCCACAGGCCCTGAATTGTACACACTAGGTTCTAGGTTCTCCAGTGTGATACTTTGGCCATCGAGAGAACAACTCTTAAAACCTTTAGGTCTATCAGCCCAATTCCAAAGGAGGGTAAGCATAGACTTGTGCTTGGGATCCTAGAAATTCTAGAGAAGTGTTCTCCTCAAGTTTTTAAAAAAGCACTCATAATTACACCAAATGTGGAGGGCTGGCTATATGTATACACCTTGAATTTGACACATTGGCTCTCATGTTTAATGTGGCCCTTAATTTTGGAAATGGCCAATGACTTATCTTCAGCTTTGCATAAACCGATAACCAGTTTTGTAAACATTTGACCAAACCTGGAACAACATAAGGGTGCTTGTACTATACATTTAATGCTGGTACCTCCTCCTTTTTAAGGCATGTTGTTGTTAAATTCCCTTTTCCTCATTTTTAAAAATATTTTGGGCCATTATTATATTTTTTAAAGTATTGTGACTCACCCTGTTTGACAAAAAGTTGGATGCAGCTTGAGTTTTGTGATGTACTTATTAAACTACAAGTTGTGGATATGGTGGTCATTCTTCTAGTGAGACATTAATTGACCCAAGAATGCAGTAGCACATAGAGAAGTCTGGCCTGCCCAAGGTGGTCCATGCTCTCGTTATATCCAGGATAGACTACTTCAACGTGCTCTACGCGGGGTTGCCCTTGAAGACTGTTTAGAAGTTACAAATAGTGAGAAAGATGGTAAAAACCTGGCTGTGGGACCAAGGCTTTGGAGCAGTGCAATAAGTTAACAATAGGATGCATTATGGCTGATCTGAGATGGTTTTAAACAACTGTTTTTAAAGTGGAGATAATTGATTTTAGGGTTTATGTATATTTATAGTTTATTTTATGTTCTGGCATTGAATGTTTGCCATATATATCTTGTGCTCCACCCTGAGTCCCCTTTGGGCTGAGAAGGACGGAATATATAAATGTTTAAAATAAATAAACAATGTCTTCAAACTACAGGAAAGGAGAACTTCCTGACTGTGAGAACTTTTCAGCAGTGGAACTCTCTGCCCTGGAGTGTGGTGAAGGGAAATACCCCGATTTCTGCAGTCTGTTCTTTCCCCTTTTTTTGAAGAGGGTGATGATGGTGGCATCCTTGAAGTCTGCTGGGATTTTCTCAGTCACCGATATTTTTTCTATAACCTGCTGGAGTTGTGTCAGCTCAGGTTCTCCCTCTTTAAAAATTTCAGCAGGGATCCCATTAGGTCCGCTGGTTTTGTTATTTTTTTATTTTATTTTATTTTAATTTTTTGTTGGCTGATGGCATTGCTGACTTCTTCCAAACTAGGCATTGTTGCAAGCTCATCCCTGGTTTGTTGTTGCAGAATTTGTGAGGGAACCTCTTCGGCCACAAAGGAGACTTTGGTAGTGTTCTTTCCAATTTAGTACAATTTAGTACAATTCATTTTTTGTCCTTCAGAAGTTTGGTTCCATATGATGAGCATAGAGACTGTATGTTTTTTGGTCCATAGATAACCTTTCAGGTTGTCTCTGGCCTATTAACCCATCTAATGGGCACACGTCAGCACAGAGAGAAGGCATTTGTTTTTATTGTTCATTTGTTCAGTCGTTTCTGACTCTTCGTGACTTCATGGACCAGTCCACGCCAGAGCTCCTTGTCGGTCGTCACCACCCCCAGCTCCTTCAAGGTCAATCCAGTCACTTCAAGGATACCATCCATCTTGCCCTTGGTCGGCCCCTCTTCCTTTTTCCTTCCATTTTCCCCAGCATCATACTCTTCTCTAAGCTTTCCTTTCTTCTCATGATGTGGCCAAAGTACTTCATCTTGGCCTCTACTATTCTTCCCTCCAATGAGCAGTCAGGCTTTATTTCTTGAAGTATGGACTGGTTGGATCTTCTTGCAGTCCAAGGCACTCTCAGAACTTTCCTCCAGCACCACAGTTCAAAAGCATCTATCTTCCTTCGCTCAGCCTTCCCTATGGTCCAGCTCTCACATCCGTAGGTGACTATGGGGAATACTTAGGCAATCCCTCGTTGGACAAGTAAGATGGTCTTCCATGATGGGTTTCCTTGTGGATTCGTAGGTGGCTGTGGAGCCCTATTCTTGACCCGCATCTTCTCCCACAGTGAAGGCATTGGTTTCCAGGCGGTCTCGGTCAGGGTTGGCTTGACGCGCCTTCCTCCTGGCACGTTTCTCTCTTTCACCCTCCACTTGTGCCTCCTCGAATTCTGCAGCACTGCTGGTCACAGCTGATCTCCAGCTGGAGCGCTCAATGGTATGGGGAATACCATTTCTTTAACTATGCGAATCTTTGCCAGTGTGATGTCTCTACTCTTCACTATTTTATCAAGATTGGTCATTGTTCTCCTCCCAAGAAGTAAGCATCTCCTGATTTCCTGGCTGCAGTCTGCATCTTCAGTAATCTTTGCACCTAGAAATACAAAGTCTGTCACTGCCTCCACATTTTCTTATGGTCCAGCTCTCACATCCATAGGTGACTATGGGGAATACCATTGCTTTAACTATGCGGACCTTCGTTGCCAGTGTGATGTCTCTATTCTTCACTATTTTATCAAGATTGGTCCTTGCTCTCCTCCCAAGAAGGAAGCGTCTCCTGATTTCCTGGCTGCAGTCTGCGTCTGCAGTCATCTTTGCACCTAGAAATACAAAGTCTGTCACGCCTCCACATTTTCTCCCTCTATTTCCCAGTTGTCAATCATTCTTGTTGCCATAATCCTGGTTTTTTTATGTTTAGCTGCAACCCAGCTTTTGCGCTTTCTTCTTTCACCTTGATTAGAAGGCTCCTCAGCTCCTCCTCGCTTTCAGCCATCAAAGTGGTGTCATCTGCATATCTAAGGTTGTTAATGTTTCTTCCAGCAATTTTCACCCCAGCCTTGCATTCATCAAGCCCCGCACATCACATGATGTGTTCTGCATACAAGTTGAATAGGTTGGGTGAGAGTATACAACCCTGCTGTACGCCTTTCCCAATCTTGAACCAGTCTGTTGTTCCATGGTCAGTTCTTACTGTTGCTTGTTGTTGTTGTTCATTCATTCAGTCGTCTCCGACTCTTCGTGACCTCATGGACCAGCCCACGCCAGAGCTCCCTGTCGGCCGTCACCACCCCCAGCTCCTTCAAGGTCAGTCCAGTCACTTCAAGGATGCCATCCATCCATCTTGCCCTTGGTCGGCCCCTCTTCCTTTTACCTTCCACTTTCCCCAGCATAATTGTCTTCTCTAGGCTTTGCTATCTCCTCATGATGTGGCCAAAGTATTTCAACTTTGTCTCTAGTATCCTTCCCTTCAATGAGCAGTCGGGCTTTATTTCCTGGAGGATGGACTGGTTGATCTTCTCGCAGTCCAAGGCACTCTCAGAACTTTCCTCCAACACCACAGCTCAAAAGCATCTATCTTCCTTCGCTCAGCCTTCCCTAAGGTCCAGCTCTCACATCCGTAGGTGACTACAGGGAATACCATGGTTTTGACTAGGCAGATCTTTGTTGCCAGTGTGATGTCTCTACTCTTCACTATTTTATCAAGATTGGTCATTGTTCTCCTCCCAAGAAGTAAGCGTCTTCTGATTTCCTGGCTGCAGTCTGTGTCTGCAGTAATCTTTGCACCTAGAAATACAAAGTCTGTCACGGCCTCCATGTTTTCTCCCTCTATTTCCCAGTTGTCAATCATTCTTGTTGCCATAATCTTGGTTTTTTTGATGTTTAGCTGCAACCCGGCTTTTGCGCTTTCTTCTTTCACCTTGATTAGAAGGCTCCTCAGCTCCTCCTCGCTTTCGGCCATCAAAGTGGTGTCATCTGCATATCTGAGGTTGTTAATGTTTCTTCCAGCAATTTTCACCCCAGCTTTGCATTCATCAAGCCCCGCACATCGCATGATGTGTTCTGCATACAAGTTAAAAAGGTTGGGTGAGAGGATGCAGCCTTGCCATACGCCTTTCCCAATCTTGAACCAGTCTGTTGTTCCATGGTCAGTTCTGACTGTTGCTACTTGGTCCTTGTACAGATTCCTCAGGAGAGAGACAAGGTGGCTTGGGATGGCCTTATCCTGAAGGAGGCCCTCTGGTGGCAATTCCCTGCCTCCGTCTACACTGTGTAATTGATCTGCGCATGCGCTGGCATCCTCCCTGACACAGAGTTCTAGGCGGGAAGGCGGAAGTGGGTGTCCCCCTCCTGCTGTCCCCCCTCCTTCCCGCTTCCGGTCCGTCGCTGTTCCTTCCCCGGGTGCGAAACTGCCCTTTGTATGTTTCTCCGCCATCCTCCGGGCCATGGAGGCGCCGCGGGAGCCTTAGGAGGGGAGATGCCCAGGCGGAGGGGAAAAGGTGAGGCCGAGGGAGCGGGGAAAGTGGGCTTGGGGGGTGAAGCTTCATGTCAGGAGTGGAAGGAAGAGCCAAGGCTGTCAATGGGGGGCTCATGAGTGGGCTAGGCTAGGCTCCCAAGTCACATGACTCCAGAGCCACCCACTTTGGGGGAAAACAGCCTCACAGAAGTCTTTGATTTTTGACTCCTGGGCAGATTGGAAAAGCAGGAAGTGTGTTCAAAGAGTATCTATTCTGTCAACATGTCTGTATGTCATGGAATCATAGAATAATAGAGTTGGAAGAGACCCCCATGGGACATCTATGCAGGAAAAGCACAATCAAAGCACCCCTGACAGATGGCCATCCATCTTTTATTTAAAGGAGCTTCCACTACAGACCGAGGTAGAGAGTTCCACTGCTGAACAACTCTTTTTAGGTATTGTCAAAAGCTTTCATGGCAGGAATCACTGGGTTGTTGTAGGTTTTTACGGGCTATATGGACATGTTCTAATCTAGAAGCATACTCTCCTGACGTTTCGCCTGCATCTATGGCAAGCATGCCATAGATGCAGGCGAAACATCGGGAGAGAATGCCTCTAGAACATGGCCATATAGCCCGAAAAAACCTACAACAACCCACTGCCAAAACAGTTGCTTTACTCCGAACTCAAGAACGGAAAACGGAATGTTGGTGGACAGGAAAAGAGATTTAAAGATGGGCTCAAAGCCAGCCTTAAAAACTCTGGCATAGACACTGAGAACTGGGAAGCCCTGGCCCTTGAGCGCTCCAGCTGGAGGTCAGCTGTGACCAGTACTGCTGTAGAATTCAAAAAGGCACGAATGAAGGGCAAAAGAGAGAAACGTGCCAAGAGGAAGGCACGTCAAGCCAACCCCGACCGGGCTCACCTTCGACCTGGAAACCAATGCCCTCACCGCAGGAGAACATGCAGGTCAAGAATAGAGCTCCACAATCACCTATGGACCCACCAGAACACTGATCCTGGAAGACTATCCTACTCGGCCAACGAGGAATCACCTAAATAAGTAAACTGTAGGGGTTGGGGATGGTTAACCTGGGTGATGGGAGTTATAGTTCACCCATATACAAAGTGTACCGTGAAACTCAGCAAACTTGGCATGCAAACCACCATGACCAACTATAACTGCTGGTGCACTTTGAAGACCTCCTTCCACCTGGAAACCGATGCCCTCACTGCAGGAGAAGATGCAGATCAAGAATAGGGCTCCACAGTCACCTACGTACCCACCAGTACACTGATCTTGGAAGACTATCCTACTTGGACAACGAGGGATTGCCTAAATAAGTCAGGTGGAATCTCCTTTCTTGTCATTTGAACCTTTGGTTCCATTGAACCCTAGTTTCAAGGGCAGCAAAAAACAAGCCTGCTCCCTCTTCCTTATGACACCCCTTCACATATTTAGTCTAGATCAGTGATTCTGAACCTGTGGGCCCCCAGATGTTTTGGCCTACAACTTCCAGAAATCTCAGCCAGTTTACCAGCTGTTAGGGTTTCTGGGAGTTGAAGACCAAAACATCTGGGGACCCACAGGTTGAGACCCACTTCTCTAGATCCAGGGAGTCATGCTACTCCTCTGTTCTGTCTTGGTCAGGCCACACCTAGAATCACAGTGTGTCCAATTCTGGGCACTGCAATTGAAGGGAGATGTTGACAAGCTGGAATGTGTCCAGAGGAGGGCGACTAAAATGATCAAGGGTCTGGAGAACAAGCCTATGAAGAGCAGCTTAAAGACCTGGGCATGTTTAACCTGTAGAAGAGAAGGCTGAGAGGAGACATGATGAGGCCATGTATAAGATGTGAGAGGAAGTCATAGGGAGGAGGGAGCAAGCTTGTTTTCTGCTGCCCCGGAGACTAGGATGCAGAACAATGGCTTCAAACTACAGGAAAGGAGATTCCACCTGAACATTAGGAAGAACTTCCTGACTGTGAGAGCCGTTCAGCAGTGGAACTCTGTCCCTGAGTGTGGTGGAGGCTCCTTCTTTGGAGGCTTTTAAACAGAGACTGGATGACCATCTGTTGGGGGTGCTTTGAATGCAGTTTTCTTGGCTGAATGGGGTTGGACTGGATGAGGTCTCTTCCAACTCAGTGATTCTATGATCTGTGAGAGGCACCATAACTCCTCTCAATCTAGACACTAGACTCCTTCAGATCTATTTGTTCTGTTTAGTCACTTATTTATTGTTACGGGTGGAGCCTCCCTTATCCAGTACACCAAAATACTCCACAATCATCCAGATGGATGGCTGAGAGAGTGACACTTTTGCTTTCTGATGGTTCAGTGGACGCATACTTTGTTTCATGCACACAATTACTAAAATATTATGTACAAAACTACCTTCAAACTATATGTATATGAATTATAAATGGATTTTGCTTTTTAGGTATCTCATTGTTTATATGCAAATATTCCCAAACACTTCTGGTCTCAAACATAGTGGACATGAGATACTCAACCTGTGTTATTTTTGTTACTTATTTATATAGTGCCTTCAGATATGCATATAAAATATAGTTTACTTTTGGGTCACATCACCAAGATTTCTCATTGTCTATATAGATAGAATAATGTTATTGTCATTGTACATCATACAATGAAATTAAACGCTTTCCCCCGCACACACCACCAAAACACACACACACATATCCCTCCACTCCCACCACCTATATGCTAATATTCCAAAATTAGGGGGGAATTTGGAATCCGAAACACTCTGGTCCTAAGTTTTGAGTATTAAGAATACTCAATCTGCATTATTACTGTTTTTGTTAAATCTAATGCCTTTCAATGAATGTGCTGCTTTTTAATAAAATCAATCAAAAACTGCCAAAGTTGCTGCAATTTGAAATATGTATGTATACACATACACACATGGAGGGGAGGAGAAACAAGAGATCACACACTATACATATAATTGCAAAACAAATCATCCAGATAAAATGCCAAAAACACCCCAAATAAAAAAAAACCCAAAATGCTACTAATATAACAGAGACCAAACTGACAATACATGTAATCAAATTAAGTTATTTATCTTTCAAAAGTTGACAAATGCAGTTTGAGCCTCATTTGTCTAAAACGCTTGGGATTCCAGATTTTTCTCTCACATATATTTAAAGATATTTTCTCATACAGGATGAGGAATCTTTGAGATGGTACCAAAAACCTAAACACAGAATCCATTCAAGTTTCTTATAGTCCTTATATACATAAACTTATTTATATTATTTATTTACAGTATTTATATTCCACACTTTTCACCTCACAGGATTACAATGTACATATATATGGCAAACATTCAATGCCATTTAGACATACAACATATGTAGACAGACACAGAGGCAATTTAACATTCCAGTTTCATGAGGGTATGCTTGATTCCAGGCACAGGGGGAGCTGCAGCTTCACCGGCCACTTATGACACCGAGTCCTTTGATGGAGTACTTCCTCATTCTTCCGCGTGCTGCTGGAAGGTTTTATGGTGTCTTAAATTAGTTATAATAGTTTCCCAGCATAAGCAGTACTCAAATTTCCTACTTGACTGATGCAACTGTCTTTCAGGCTGCATAGGTCAACAGTAAGCTAGACTGGAGCTCACTCTGACCCGGGATGGCTTTGAACTCCTCTTGGTCAGTAGTGATTTATGCAGCTGGCTACTAATTAGCTGTGTGACAGCCTGGTCCTGAAGCTAATTTTATACACAATCACTTTAATTATCTTTATAATTTATGTACTTTAGACCATCAGAAAGATGTTATCAACTCAGCCGCTTTTGTGAACAATTTTGGATTTTGAAGCATTTCAGATTTCCAGATAAAGGATACTCAACCAGTGGCAACAAGGACACATTAAGATGTGTTACTGTGTTTGACTCTTTGTTGAACCAGTCAATACTTCCTTTCCAGAATTGGATTACTTTGCATTGGCACCTCGTTTTTCCTCCAGTGAGCTTAAGGACATGATCATTAAGCCCAGGACAGTATACATGAGACTCTTTTCCCTCACTTTATGTAAAATAAATCAGTCTGAGAAAGAAGTGACTGGTCAAAGGTTACCCAGAGTGCTGAGTATTTTTAGTTTGAAGAGGTCTGAGTGGTAATATAGTAGACATTGAAATTCCTCAAGGGACGTCATGCTGAAGATGGAATGAGCTTGTTTGTTGCTGCTCCAGTGACTAGAACACTGACCAGGAAATTGTAATAGTAGAGATTCCACCAAGACTTTAGGAAGGAGCATGATAAATGCCCTTCTCACTGCATGGAAGGACTAGATGGCCTTTGCATGTCTTTCCAACTTAGTGCTCCTGTGACAAAGTAGAGACTTTATACCAGGACCTCCATATTCCTTCCTCTCGCCATCATACTACATTACAAATGCTACTTTATGCATGGGGAAGTGAAGAGCAGAATACTATTCTTAATTTGTTTCAGTCTTCAGGTGAGTTGGAATTTGAACCTGCGAGACAGGGTGAGCTCTCATGTGTCAGCCCCAGCTTCCCATGTGGGGACATGAGAGAAACCTCCCAGAGGTGTCCGCTGGACAATGTCCTTGCAGACGGCCAATTCTCTCACACCAGAGACGACTTGCAATATATACGATATTTAGTTTTGCCACGATTAAAAAAAAAGTTGGAAGGAAGAGTCAGAAAGCAGTAACAGCAAATAGAGATTATCTTTAGCAATAGTTTACATGGCAACTAGCATTATCCACAGATAGGTTGACTGATCTTTGAATGTGTATTCACTGAAAAAGAAGGTGCATTTGCATTGTAAATTTAATGCACTTTGACACTATTTTAACTGCCATGGCAAATGGTGACAAACTGAATAAATTCTACTGTGTAGATGCATCCAGAGCTTTATTGTTTTTATGATCTATACTAGACCTTGTAACTTCAACTGTGATCTGAATATTTAAATTCACCATTAAGGATTGCCTACTGCAGTTTTTTCAGAAAGAATATGAGGTGGGAAATTCCCCTCATATTTCCAAAATAAATTTCTAATTAGTTTTTGCAAATGCTTTTGAGGGATACACACTCAGCCCTCCACATTCGCTGGGGTTAGGGATGCAGGACACCCACAATAGTGAAAAAGTGAATAAAAACACCCTTTTAAAATATGAAATAACATCTCTCAAGGAATCTCTGAGTCTTTCACTTGAGGTATGGTGAAAAACTTAGAGATTCTTTGACAGACCATAGTAATCAAATCTGCAAAAGTAAAACCTGTAAATGTGGAGGGACAACTGTGACAAACAATATCAAGAAATACATAGTGTATCCAAATTTAATTTTAAAGGTTCCTATGAAAAGGAAGTTATGTATGAAGTGAGCCAGTTGTTATGTTATTCAAAACAAAGCAAAGAGTAGAACTGGCCAAATGTCAAGGTTTTATAGGTGTCTCATTGCACCAGAGCCCTGGTGGTGCAGCATGTTAAACTGCTGAGCTGCTGAACTTGCTGACTGAAAGGTTGGTAGTTTGAATCGGGGGGGGGGGAATGAGCTCCCACTGTTACCTCCAGCTTCTGCCAGCTTAGCAGTTTGAAAACATGCAAATTTGAATAGATCAATATGTACTGCTCCATGCAGTCATTCTGGCCACATGGCTTAGGAGGCATGGCTTAGGAGGCATCTACGGACAACGTCAACTCTTTGGCTTAGAAATGGAGATGAGCACCACCCCCCAGAGTCAGACATGACTTGTCTTAATGTCAGGGGAAATCTTTACCTTTACTTTACATTACAATTATTATTTCTGGGTTTTTTTTCCCCAGCTGCAACAATCCAGTTAGCAACCAAGATGGCAGAATGTGGCTTTCTACGGTCAGGGCCAAGAGTGAACCAAAGCAAAAGGGACCCTCATATGTTCCTCTCAGGAGCAGCTTTGCCACAGAACAAACAGGAACCAGACGAGGGGTTCCAACCACGGCAGGAATCGTGGCAGCAGGAAAAGGACCCCAACTCAGTGCTGTCTCCTTATTCGGTGTGGAGGCCATCACGGTTATTTCAACCGGTCTCTGATGAGGACATGAAAGAATTTAAGACTTCTTACCAATCGTTGAAAGGTGCCAACCAATTGCCTAGGGGTGGAGGAGGTGCAATAGCGATGCATACTTTCCCGGACCTTGGTCGAAAAACTCAAGAAGCCTGTGAAAGTTTGGACAGTTCTGGAAGGTTGAAGGAGCAGGTTCCAGAGATGGCCGACCCAGATCGATTGGAGATCAAGCGCCAGCACTTCCGGCATTTCTGTTACCAGGAGATCGAAGGGCCCCGGGCAGTCCTGAGAAAACTGCAGGAGCTTTGCTGCCAGTGGCTGGTGCCAGAGAGGCACACCAAGGAGCAGATTGTGGACCTGGTGATCTTGGAGCAGTTTCTGACCATCCTGCCTTTGGAGATGCAGATCTGGGTGTGCAAAAGTGGACCCGCCACCTGCACCCAGGCTCTGGCCCTGGCCGAAAGCTTCCTCTTGAGGCTGCAAGAGGCCGAGAACCATGCACCAAAGGTAGGGAAGTCGCTGAATGGGCATCTGGGAGCAAGCCAGAGAAATTTGAGTATAGCTCTGTGTCATGGGAATTAAATTGGGGACTTTAGGAATGGCCTTGAGCATAAACTGTGATTTAGCATGTACTTGGTTATTGTGTGCCTTCAAGTTTCTTCTGTCTGATGGAGACCTTCAGTGCCCTTCCATATAACCCAGAACATCAAGGCAAAAAATCCCACCGTATCTGCTTTGAACTGGGTTATCTTAGTCCACACTGCCATATATTCCAGTTCAAAGCAGATAATGTGGGATTTTATTCAGCTGTGTAGAAGGGATCTATGAACAGCAGAAAGCCCTCCAGGGGTTTGGGATTTCAACTCCCACAATTCCTAACCATTGGTAGACTGTTAGGAATGGTGGAAATTGAAGTCCAAAACACCTGGAGGACCAAAGTTTGCCCATGCCTGCCTTAAGGTGACTTTTTCATGGCGTTTCATGGGAGTGAGTAACACATCCAAGGTCAACCAGTGGGTTTCCATGTTTAAGTGGGGAATTGAATCATAGTCCTCAGAGGCGTAATCCAGTGCTCAAGTCACAACAGCATGCTGGATGCTGACTGGATATACCATCCATTGTTTATTATTAAGGCGCTGCTGGATTAGGTTAAGGGTGTATCGCATCCACCATCCTGTTATCATTGTGTCCAGCTGGTTGCATGTGGAAGCAAACAAATAGAACTTTCTTGTGCTAAGGATACAGGTAGTCCCTGGGTTACAAACAAGATATGTTCTGTAGGTTAGTTCTTAAGTTGAATTTGTTTGTAAGTTAGAACAGGTGCGTATTTTTAAACATAGCGCTAGCCAATTTTGTAAACGTTTTGGATAGCATAGGGCAGGGATAACACCCCTGTGATGTTTGTTTTGTTGTCTGTGCCTTTGTTTAGTAGATATCAGCTCACTTTCTGTTGAATTTTTGAAAATTTTGGATTGTTGTGGAAACAAGGATTGGTGATAAAGTTTCAATTGAGACACCTTTTCCTCATGAAAACTCTTACATGAGTACATTTCCCTTTCTAGGGGTAGATTTTCTTTCACTTCCTGTTGCCTCACCCCCATTTTTAACCAGGAGATGGATGCAAATCGGCTGTTATGAATTGTGGGAGTTGAAGTCCACAACACCTGGAAGGCGGAAGTTTGCTCATGCCTACCATAGACTCATGCTGGAGGGCCTAGAAATTCATAAACACCTTCCTAAGAATCTCTAGGTCCTACAGTGCAATTCTGTGGTCACTTTTTCACAGAAGTTCACCATAGAGTTTTTCCAAGATTGATAAAAGTTTGTGTTTTTCCCCCCAAATTTTCAACCAATTTCAGGGGTTTTCAGTAGTCCTGGGCCCCTGATAATAGTAAATGGGAAGTCTGAGTGTATTCTAATATTCCATTTCATACATCAGGCTCTGCAACTAATGATACAAAAATAGCAAAAAAACTGACAATTTGTTACTGAGTGTAGGTTTTGTCTGTGTGTATGTGGTTAAGTTCAGCTAATCCTCCCCAAAGATTGAAGTACAATGTGTCATTTAAAAACAATGTGTGATGAAAGTCTGGGCAAAGTTAATTTTTGAAACAAGTTGGAAGAAGAGATACCATATAGTTTAAAAGTTGCCCTTTTTAAGCATGCCTTAGGAATTTAAAATTGCATTTTCCCCATCAGGACTACTAGCCAAAACTTATCCAATCATCTACAAAATGAAAATCTTGACAGGTCCTTGCAGATTGGTACAATTTCTGTTCTTGAAACTTTTTCTCGTGTCAGGAGCGACTTGAGAAACTGCTAGTTGCTTGTGGTGTGAAAGAATTGGCTATCTTCAGGGACATTGCCCAGGGGATGCCTGGATGTGTTACCATCCTGTGGGAGGCTTCTCTCATTCCCCGCATGGGAAGCTGGAGCTGGCAGATGGGAGCTCACCCCACTCCCCGGATTTGAACCACTGACCTTTTGGTCCTGCCAGCACAAGGTTTTAACCCATTGCGCCACTGGGGGCTCCTTATTGATACAGAGAGCATCTATTAAGCTTTCATTCCGAAATGGACAATATCAATAATAGACTATTAGATTGGATTATTAGGTTTGTCATGCTTTTGGAGCCAGTAGTAGCTCGAGTATGGAACTACAGGTGCATCTACACAGTAGAAACTAATGCAGATTTACAAGACTTTAACTGCCATAGCTCAATGCTACGGAATCCTGGGATTTATAGTTTGCACAGAAAACTACATCCCCTAGGAATTTTACAAGGTCTTCTCTGTCAAATAGTGATGGCACCCCAACCAACTACAACTACCAAGTCCATAGCTCTTAGCCATGGCAGTTGCAATTGATGCCAGACTGCATTAAGATGCACAACTTTGGAGACCAGGGTGCCAGTCTCTGGTTGGCCATGAAAATGCTCGGTTTGTCTTTGAGCAAGTCACATCATCTCAGTTTCAGAGGAATGGCAAATCAAATCTTGCAGGAAAATCCCATTATAGGGTCACCATAAGTTTGAAACAAGTTGAAGGAACACAATAACAGCTTGCTTTAAGAGTTATTAATTTCTTTCCAAAATTTGATTATTACTTCCAGAGCAATATAGCTTCATAGTATCTAGTGTTCCTGCTGGAACACCAGCATGGGGTGTTCTACCAGGACACCAGTGGTTCTCAATCTGTGGGTCCCCAGGTGTTTTGGCCTACAACTCCCAGGAGCGACTTGGCCTACAACTCCCAGAAATTTCAGCCAATTTACCAGCTCTTAGGATTTCTGGGAGTTGAAGATCAAAACATCTGGGCTTCTAAACAGCTTTAGAACCACTGGTTTAAAGCTTACAGTGTTAATTGGGATTTATGAGTCCCAGGTTCTAGTTCTCAATGAGCAGAAAAATTGCTGTGGTCTTGAGAAAGGAGCCTATGCTGCTTTGCAGGATTGTTGTGAGGATAAAATTAGGAGGATGAAAAACGTGCCACAAATGGATGAAATAATTCATCAGTTTCCACATATTCATGGATTCTGCATCCATAGATTGAACCATCTGCATCTTAAAAATATTTTGTAAACATTCCAAAAAGCAAGGTTGATTTTGCAATAATAATAATAATAATAATAATAATAATAATAATAATAATAATTTATATATACCCACCACCTCTTCCTGCAGGCACTTGGGGGGGGCTTACAATAAATAATATAAGCAGTAGACAATAGACAACAGTAATACAATTAAAATAACATAATAATATAAATAGTTTTAAAGCTATTTGTCATATAAAATTTTATAGAGAGAGAGAGAGAACAATATAGTAATATATAATACTGATATTGTACTATGCTAATAATATAATATAGTGTATGTATATCTATCTTGTAAGCCACTATGAGTCCCCTTCGGGGTGAGACGGGTGGCATATAAATCACAAAAAGCACAAATCCACTACAAGTTGTGGTACACAAAACACAAACGTAAATATATTCTTTCAGCTAATATAATTCAATATTGAACAAATAACAAATTTATATAGTGTGGCATACAGCAGTATATAATGAATTACAAACTGTGGTTTACACAGTGATTATACAACCGTAGCAAAAAGAGTCTTTCTTGGTGTAAGGCTAGCTTCTCTATAGGGCATGAAGTCCCTTACACTAAAGAAGGATACTCTTGAGTGAAGTTTTCAGTTACTTGTAAGAAGATACCCACACTTCTCTTGAGGGCATAAAATCCCTTACTTTAAAGAAAGGTACTCTTGAGTAAATTTGAATTTCTTGTATGAAGATATCCACGACCGGTTTCGACTAAAGTCTTCCTCAGGTGGAGAATTGTAGAGAGTAATGAAGTGGACATCAAGTTCATCACAATAACAATGCTTCCTTGGATGTTTTATACAGTGTAACAGTGGATCTACAGGGAATATACACAAGTGGCTAGAACATGTCCCACAAGGGGTAAACATTTGCATATTATGATAACATGTAAGGTATACATAACAAAAAAAGGCCTAGGTACTTACAACAGGTTCTCAAGGGCCATGCTCTGCAAAAGTATGTTTCTGTAGCAAGCACATGGCCAACAGATAGAAACAAGTTTATAAAGTAAAGCAATTAAAAGGGCCCAACCCAGGTAGAGCAAGTCATGAAACTGTTAAAGAGCTATACACTATGATTTACATGAAACATTGGAATGAAATGGTGTCATTCAGACCATTGGGATGTACAGATTTAAGGGTGATTGTGGGGATCCATTGTCTTTTGTGGGTGGCATTTAAATGTCATTCATAAATAAATAAATAAATAGATTTGTGATTTGGTTTATGTGTGTAAGGCATTGAATTTTGCCATTATTTTTTGTAAACCGCTTTGAGTCGTCCCCTCAGGGGTGAGAAAAGTGGTATATAAATACTGTAAATAAAGAAAGAAACACAGTTTAAACCTGTACGTTCCTGTTATCAAGATATTCAGCGTTATGATTAATGTTATACTGGTCATTCAAGTCCTGTCCGATAATCAGGTAATAATTATTTCATAAAAGGGGCACCATTTTGTGACAGATTTGTATATCATGGGACTTGAGCATCCAGAGATTTCCATGGAACCAAACCTCAATAGGAACTGCTTTACTGAAGTGTAGGTGTTTGCATTATAGCAGGATAGTGGACTAGAAGGGATTTGTGCATTTATCTAGTTCAGAACCGTAAGAACTAGGGTCCCTTTGGGTTTTGAGTTTTGTTTTTTTTTTACTCACAATGCTTACTTATATTCCAGGGCATTGGACTAATGGAGGAAGCATTTGTCAATTCTCCAGCACCAAAGCAGGACTTGCCAGATGCTGTTGACATCTGCATCTCTGAGGTAGAAGAGGAGGCGACCATCTTGATGGGTAGGCCCGACATTCTGAATTCAAGTGTGAAAGTCCTTTGTGAAAGCAAGCCTTGCATGGACAGTGGGATGTTCTATTTTGCTCAGTCGGTGGCTGAATGTTGTGGGAAAGAGGAAACTAGCCTAGGCAGAGCTACGTGACCCTCCTTGCTTAAGGTTAGAGAGGTTAGAGAAAGGTAGAGCTGTGTAGAATGCCTCCAGAAGTGAGTTCTGCAACCTCACCACCACCAAAAAGGCCGTGTCTCTCTGGCATATTGGACCTGACCTTCCAAGGCACTTCTTGTGCTCTGACAGGAGGAATACTTTGACTGAGAAAAGGGGAAGGATTGTACCATGTACCCATCATATGCTAAATCCAGGGTGGACAGGCTTGCTCTATCTGTTGTTATTTCAATTTATTTGAAGAATCCTAAAGTCCTTGACATGTTAAACAGTGGCTTGGATATGTGTACATGTCAGGAGCAGTCCAAGAACTACTTCTGAGTGAGGCAGCAGCTTCAATTCACAGATGGGTTATTTTATGTACTGTATTTAGCTGCCTTGAGTCGCCTTCGGGCTGAGAAAGGCGGCATAGAAATGCAGTAAATAAATAATATTTATTTATTTATTTATTAAAATGTGAAGCTCAATATCACAGAAAAATAACAACACAGTTATCCTTCCACATTTGCAGTTTTGACTTTTGTGGATTTGAATACTCATAAGTTTAATGAAAACATTCTCTAGGAATCTCTAGATAAAATATTGCAACGGGTATGAATATATGAAATGTCTTCTTTTAGACAATACATTCTCTTCTTCTACTTCTTCTGGTCAGCATCCTCTGTTTGCGATGGAACTCCTAGAGATTTCTCAAGAGAGCACCTCTCTGGGAAACTCTAGTCAACCATAGATCATGCTAGAGTTTTCGAGAGAAGTGTTCTCAGGTTTTAAAAAAGCAATTTCTTTATTTGCAGTTCTGAGCTTTAGCAGCCTGCAGCAAAAGTGAAAGGCTGAATGTATTCCCCTCTCTTCTTATCCTTCCCCTATCCCATATAAATTAGTATATATTATATTTCTACTTTTAGTAAGGTAAAGGTAAAGGTTTTCCCCTTGCATGAAGTCTAGTCATGTCCAACTCTGAGGTTGGTGCTCGTCTCCATTTCTAAGTTGAAGAGCTGGCGTTGTCCATAGACACCTCCAGTCATGTGGTCGACATGACTGCATGGAGTGCCATTACCTGTCCAGATACAATACATTGCCTTCTCACTCAGTGTTTTAAACTTTTTAATCCTTGGTACTGACCCTGCACACTGTGATTTAATTTCTGTGTTTAAATTATTGTGATTTTACATTGCTTGATGTGCTTATTTATATTGTTTCTTGTATTTTATTTTTTATTATTTTTATATTTTATTGTCGTTGTATGTTGTTTATTTGCATTGCTGTATTGTTGGACTTGGCCTCATGTAAGCCGCCCCAAGTCCCCTTAGAGAGATGGTGGCGGGGTATAAATAAAGTTTATTATATTGTCGAAGGCTTTCATGGCCAGAATCACTGGATTGTTGTAGGTTTTTTCGGCCTATATGGCCATGTTCTAGAGGCATTCTCTCCTGACGTTTCGCCTGCATCTATGGCAAGCATCCTCAGAGGTGAGGTCTGAGGATGCTTGCCTCACTACCTCTGAGGATGCTTGCCATAGATGCAGGCGAAACGTCAGGAGAGAATGCCTCTAGACCATGGCCATATAGCCCGAAAAAACCTACAACAACCCAAGATGATGATGATGATGATGATGATTATTATTATTATTACCTTCCTGCCAGATCTACCTATTGATCTACTCACATTTGCATGTTTTTTAATTGCTAGGTTGGCAGAAGCTGGGGCTAATGGCAGGAGCTCACCCTATGACCTTTCGGTCAGCGAATTCAGTAGCTCAGTACTTTAACTCACCATGCCACTGGGGTTAATTTCTACTTTTATTAATGCTTTTATGTTGGTTTTAATTTATATTATTTAAATCAGTGTTTCTCAACCTGGGGGTCGGGACCCCTGAGGGGGTCGCGAGGGGGTGTCAGAGGGGTCGCCAAAGACCATCAGAAAACACAGTATTTTCTGATGGTCATGGGGATTCCATGTGGGAAGTTTGAGCCAATTCTATGGTTGGTGGAGTTCAGAATGTTCTTTGATTGTAATGAACTATAAATCCCAGCAACTACAACTCCCAAATGTCAAGATCTATTTTCCCCAGACTCCACCAGTGTTCACATTTGGGCATATTGAGTATTCGTGCCAAGTTTGGTCCAGATCCACCATTGCATGAGTCCACAGTGCTCTCTGGATATAGGTGAACTACAACTCCCAAACTCAAGGTCAATGCCCATCAAACCCTTCCAATGTTTTCCATTGGTCATGGGAGCCAAGTTTGGTTCAAATCCATCGCTGGTGGAGTTCTGAATGCTCTTTGATTACAAGTGAACTATAAATCCTAGCAACTACAACTCCCAAATTACAAAATCAATCCTCGCCCAACCCCACTAGCATTCACATTTGGGTGTATTGGGTATTTGTGCCCAGTTTGGTCCAGTGAATGAAAATGCATCCTGCATATCAGATATTTACATTATGATTTATAATAGTAGTAAAATGACTGTTATGAAGTAGCAATGAAAACAATATTATGGTTGGGGGTCACCACAACATGGGGGACTGTATTAAGGGGTCACGCCATTAGGAAGGTTGAGAACCACTGATTTAAATTCATTCATAGCCAGCTTGACTACCATTATTAGGCGAAAGATGGGCTATAAGCAAACAAATATCTATAGTCTTACAGCAATCTATGCATAACATGGGGAGTCCTTAATGCTGGTCTGGAAGTAGCTGCTGCTGGTACAAACTGAAGTATCTCTGCTCTGTAGATTCCTATTAGTTGTCCCTGTTTAGCTTTTCGTCTCTGATGGCTAGGGGAATCTTTGCCCATCTTAATTTTTACATGGCTCCTGTTTTTATAAACAGGCTCATCTTTCTTGTTGTAGGTGGTGAAGTCCGCCCCCGGCAACTGGGGATGAAGATCCCGGCAGCAGTCCGCAGCGCTGATACTTCGTCGATCGTTGTGGAGTTGCAATTACCCGAGGATTCTGTGGAGCAAAAGTCTGCCGGCCCAGCCCCTCGACGGAAAGTGCCGTGGTCCGGCTTTGAGAAAGCCTTTACGTATGTGCGCCAGAGGGGGAAAAACTTGGTGGTGCAATGCAATTTCTGCCTGCCAGCCTACAAGACTGTGAGCGCAGCCATTACCTCCTCGTCCAATCTGAAGAAACATTTGGAGGTAAGCAAGAGTTCAGTTAGTTTTCGGAAAGTTTCAGTGAACATCTAGAGCAGAACTTTCCAAACATATACATGTGTCCATTCCAATGTGTGGCTATGAAACAAATGTAATAATAAACCTCTTGTGTGAAATCAGCAATAAATCATATATTTTTAAAAATAGAAATGAGAAGTTTTCATTTATTTTATTTATTTATTTTCCTTATTTATACCCTGCCTTTCTCAACCCCAACAGGGACTCAAGGTGGCTTACATATATAGGCAACGATTCAATGCCATGTTAACATAGATTCATAAAAAATAAATATATTAAAATAATCATTAAAAACATATTGAACCTTAAAAACACTTATTAAAATCACATCCGAAGTCATAATCCATGGCCATTCCAAATTGTCATTGCATATTCCATAATTCTCTAGTGGGTTACTAAATGAATACTTGATCCTATAGCCACGTCTTTAGCCTTTTCCTGAAGCTCAGGAGGGAGAGGGCTGATCTGATTTCATTAGTTCCATAGACAAGGGGCCAATAATGAGAAGGCCCTGTCTCTCATCCACACCACTCGCGCCTGTGTAGGAGGTGGGACCAAGAGCAGGGCCTCCCCTGACGATCTTAACCTCCTTGTTGGTTCATAGAAGGAGATGCGTTCGGACAGGTGAACTGGGCCAGAACCATTTAGGGTTTTATAGGCTAAAGCCAGCAGTTTGAATTGTGCTTTGTAGCAGACTGGTAGCCAGTGGAGCTGATGTAACAGAGGTGTTTTATGCTCCCTGTACGGTGCTCCAGTTAGAAATATGGCTACCGCCTCTTGAACTACTTGAAGCTTCCAAACAGTCTTCAAAGGGAACCCCACATAGAGCGCGTTGCAGTAGTCTATTCTCAATGTTTCCATACACTTTGTTGTTACAATTTGGGTATGTGTCCATAAAATACCTCCCCACTTAATGTGGTCCCTATTCATCTACTCACATTGCTGTTTTCGATCCACTAGGTGGGCGAGGAGCTGGGGTGAAGGTCAGGAGCTCCCTCTGACCCGGCTTCAAACTGTCAACCTTTCGGTTGGCAAGATTTCCTGCAGCTGCAGCTGGTAGTTAACCTGCTGTGCTAAAGCTGGCCCCACTTGAAGTCTGGGAACATATCCTCCAAGATACAGGAATCATACTGTAGGTGTGTTTTCTTATCTGAAAAACAAAGGTGGAGAATTTTTAACAGGAGGGAGCGCCACAATTTAAAAAGCACCACAAACAGAGCTGGTGTTTAGAAAGTTGATATGTTAAGTATCAGAATGACTTGGATTACGACTGTGGATAGCGTGGCTTTATAGTGATTGTAGGAGCTCCCGGTGGCACAGTGGGTTAAAACACTTGTGCCAACAAGTCTCAAGACCAACAGGTCGGAGGTTCAAATCTGGGGTGTGTGTGTGTGTGTGTGGATGAGCTCCCTCTATCAGCTCCAGCTCCCCATACGGGGACATGAGAGAAGCCTCCCACAAGGATGGTAAAACATCTGAGTGTTCCCTGGGCAATGTCCTTGCAGACGGCCAATTCTCTCACACCAGAAGTTACTTGCAGTTTCTCAAGTCTCTCCTGACACGAAAAAATAGTGATTGTAATGTTTTTTAAATGTTTTAATGTATTTCGATCTTGATATTAATTTTAATTCAGATGTTTATGTTAATTGTAAATGGCTGTTAAGGCATTGAAGTATTGCATATCTGTAAGCCATCTTGAGTCCCCCTTAAGGTAGAGAAAGGCGGGATATGAATATAGTAACATAAATAAATAAATAAAGTAAAGTTTGTATGTCTGTTTTGAGCCAGAGGTCCACAAACCTTTTGAACAAAGGGCCAGGTCATAGTCCCTCAAACTAGGGCCGGATTATAATTTGAAAAAAAAAAATGAACGAATTCCTATGCACAGTGCATGTATCTTATTTGTAGTGCATAAAACACTTTAGAACAATATAATAATTAAAATGAAGAACAATTTTAACAAATATAAACTTATTAGTATTTCATTGGGAAGTGTGGGCCTGCTTTTGGCTGATGAGATAGGATTGTTGTTGTTGTTGGTGCTTTCAAGTCATTTCAGACTTAGGTTGACCCCGAGTGCGGGCCGGGTAAATGACCTTGAAGGGTCGTATTCGGCCCCTGGGCTGTCGTTTGAGGACCCCTGTTTTGAGCTGTCAAATGACTTTTCCACCCCACCCTCCAGAACTGATGTTTGCTTCTTCTTTCTTGCTCCTTAGAGGGCTCATCCCGAGAAACTGAAAATAATTGAAAGTGCAAAGAGGGTAAGGAGACGGGGCTATTCTGTAGAACTGAGGCATGATGACGAGACCCCAGCTCTCAAAATGCCCAAGCAGCAGCCAGAGTCACAGGCAGGCCCAGAGAAATGGGGATGTGGCAAGGAGACAGTCACCCAGAGGATTCTTGATAAGAAAATCATGGATTTCATTGTGGAGGAGACGCTGCCATTTGAAACGGTGGACAGAGCATCGTTCATCGGGTTGGTTCGCCTTGGTCTCCCAAAAGGCCTCAGCATCATGTGTGCCAACACCCTGAGGGACAGAATTCAGAAGAGGGCGGCCAGCATGCGGGAAACGCTTGTGAGCCGGATGGGTGTCGTCTCCCATGTGGCAACCACTGCTGACTGCTGGACCATCGGGAAGAGGAGCTTCCTGGGGGTCACGGCCCACTGGATCAGCCCCACTACTCTGAAGCGGGAGTTTGGGGCCTTGGCGTACAAGCGCTTAAAAGGACACCTCACGTACAGTGTCCTTGTCAAAGCCCTCCATGATGTTCATATGCAATACCAGATTCACAGCAAAGTTATGTGTACCACCACGGACAATGGCTCCAACTTTGTGCAAATGTTTCGGGGATTTAGGGCTGAGGAACTCAGAGATGCTACGGGAACCAGCATAGAGGGAAATGACAAGGAAGGAGACGGTGACAACCAGGAAGAGCCAGAGGTGACATTTGTCCCAATCTCCGAACTTTTGGACACTTGTAACAAGGCAGCGGAAGAAAGAGTGGGCTCCAAAGATTTCAGCTTGCCACCACTCCAGCGGTGTGTCAGCCACTCACTCAATCTGGTGGCAACACAAGACGTAGATGCCTTGATTTCAGACTCTTCCAAAAATAGCCTTCACGGTCCTTTCTGGAGACATTTTCGTTCCTTGATGGAGAAGTGCAACAAACTGTGGTCCAAGCACAAAGGATCCAAACAGTTTGCAGAGTATGTCCGTGAGCAGTCCGGTGTATACTTGAAAGTACCAAACCAGACCCAGTGGAACGTCACCTTCAATGCACTTAAGCAGCTGAATGAACTCCTCTCTAATATGCCGCTAAAAGTGGGTGCCCTTACGGACCAGTGCTCCATGGCCAGGTTCACACCGGCTGAGAGCATAGTGTTGCAGGAGTACACTGAGATCATGTGGCCGCTAGCCCAGTCTCTTGATATCCTGCAGCGGGAGAATGGCATGTTTATGGGGTACCTGTTGCCTACTTTGTACAATTTGGACCGCAAATTACAAGGGCTGGAAAACAAGCCCGTCAAATACACGTACTGTCTTCCGCTCTTGAGGGGGATCCGTGAAGCCCTAAGGAAGCGGTTTGCGGGTATTTGGGAGGACAAGAAGCTTCTTCTGGCAGCCTGCTTACACCCTCGATTCAAAGTGGACTGGCTGGATTCAGCCAAGACTGTTCATATCAACAGGTAAGAAAGCAGGAGAAAGCCCTTCATGTGTATCAGGCCAAGGTGGGGGTGGGAGTACATAATAGCCACAAATCTGTGTTTTTTCCCAATTATGATTTACCCAGGTGGTCATGGGATTTGGCAATAGCAATTCATTAAGTCCACAGTTTCTGCTTCTTGCAGCATTTGGAAGTCCAGGGCATTTAATATCCATGGACTGGAGGCGCCAACGCCCTCCAGAGAACCTTATTCCAAAAGCCAGTAGCTTGTCAAATATCATGAGCAGATGGGGATACTTCCTTTCAGAAGCCAAGAACTTTGCTTTTGTTTTTATATGCCTTCTGGCTTACAATGGAGTCCCCGGAGGCGCAGTGGGTTAAACCGCTGAGCTGCTAAACTTGTTGACCGAAAGGTCACAGGCTCAAATCTGGGGAGCAGCGTGAGCTTCCACTGTCAGCCCCAGCTTCTGACAACCTACCAGTTCAAAAACATGCAAATGTGAGTAGATTAATAGGTACTGCTCTGGCAGGAAGGTAACAACGCTCCATGCAGTCATGCCGACCACATGACCTTGGAGGCGTCTGCCAGCTCTTCGGCTTAGAAATGGAGATGAGCACCAACCCCCAGAGTCAAACACGACTGAATGTCAGTGGAAAACCTTTACCTTTACTGGCTTACAGTAACCCTGTCACAGGAATTTCTTGGCAAGAATCATTCAGAGGAAGTCCTAGTTGGGGAATTTCCTCCCACAGGAAGTTCAGCTGGCCTCTTCCATAGAGAACATGTAGATTTCAAGAGAGAACCATGCTCTAGAGCAGTGGTTCTCAACCTGTGGGTCCCCAGATGTTTTGGCCTTCAACTCCCAGAAATCCTAACAGCTGGTAAACTGGCTGGGATTTCTGGGAATTGTAGGCCAAAACACCTGGGGACCCTCAGGTTGAGAACCACTGTTCTAGAGAATAATGTGATTTTGTGGTCAGCTTCCAGTGGATATTGATCATAAAGTTGTGTTGGAGGACCTACACATAGATACATATATATTTTCACTCTGTGTGTATATAAAATAAAAGGTCATCCAGTGGGTATCCATGGCTGAATGGAGATTCAAAGCCTTGTCTCTCAAAAATTCTAATTTTTTACTCAGAGAACTACATTGTGGTGGCTCAACCTGAAAGAATACAGTAAAGGCTCAGTTTCCTTTCTCCATTCCAATATCTTCTAGGTACATGATGGAAGCTTTGGTGAAGGCTGAAATCAGGGGCATGGTGAGTGAGGAAAATGACCGGTCTTCAGAGAAAGACCAGGAGAGCGACAGTCTGGAAGACGACTTCTTCAACATCCGGCCGCGGGGCAAGAAGTCAGCTGTGGACAGTGCCGACGAGGAAGTCTGGGATTTTCTGAAGTGCCCCAGCCGGGAAGTGTCCTCCCTGCATGCCTTTCCGCGTATCATGCAGAGCTTCCTGCAATACAACACCGGCATGCCTTCCAGCGCTGCGGCAGAGCGCCTCTTTTGCACAGAGGACCGGGGTGCGACGGCCAAAAGACACTCCTTGTCCGACGAGGTCTTTGAGCAGCTGGTTCTTCTGAGGCAGAACAGGGCGCTCTTTTAAAAACAGCACTTGAAGTGTAGCTTTTACTCTCCTGATTGTATAAAATATCTCTGTGCATATTTCTTGGGGTATTTGTTGCTAGACAAGAGGCAGAGCTGGGCATATTGTCGTGCCACTCTTATTATGGCATTCTCATATTATGAATCCTATGGATAAAAGTGCTTTTTATTCTATCCTCTGTGTTTACGTGTGTGTGTGCGTTTATTTTCAATGGTGCAGGATGTCGAGATGTGTGTTTTGCCAAGGGCAAAGTGTTTTGTTTTTTTCTGGATTCAAAGACAATAACACAAACACATGGTTAAGAGTGGGTTGCTGTGAGTTTTCCGGGCTGTATAGCCATGTTCCAGAAGCATTCTCTCCTGAGTACAGATGGTCCCCAAGTTACAAACAAGATAGGTTCTGTAGATTTGTTCTTAAGTTGAATTTGTATGTAAGTCAGAACAGGTACATTTTTTAAGTGTAACTCCAGCCAAAAATATATGTTTTATGTATTGTTGAAGGCTTTCATGGCTGGAATTGTTGGATTGTTGTGTGTTTTCCGGGCTGTATGGCCATGTTCTAGAAGCATTCTCTCCTGACGTTTTGCCTGCATATGTGGCAGGCATCCTCAGAGGTTGTGAGGTCTGACCTCACTACCTCTTAAGGATGTCTTCCACAAATGCGGGTGAAATATCAGGAGAGAATGCTTCTGGAACACGGTCATACAGCCCAGAAAACACACAACAACCTATATGTTTTATCTTTGGTTAACATAGGGAGGGTTTTATACACACACACATATAAACATTTGTGGTGTTTATTTTGCTGTCTGTGCCCCTGTTCAGAAGATTTTACCTCACTTTTTTGTCCCTGGGATAATTTGATTGTGAAAAAATTGACTTGTGGAAAAAGTAATTGATGAGAAAGCTTCAGATGAGATCCCTTTCCCCTATGATAGCTCTTCTGGGAGTGGAGTTCCCTTCCGAGGGGTAGATTCCTCTCACTTCCTGTTGTCTCACCTCCTTAACTATGAGCCATTTGTAAGTCGGATGTTCGTAAATCGAGGATTGCCTTTACAAGGTTTTATTTAAAACAATAGGCAAAGCATGAAATAAGGAAAACATACAAATCTCTACCAGTCTATTGTTGAAGGGTTTCATGGCCGGAATCACTGGGTTGTTGTAGATTTTTCAGGTTGTATGGCCATGTTCTAAAAGCATTGTCTCCTGACCTTTCGCCTGCATCTGTGGCAAGCATCCTCTATCAGCCTGTTGGGAATGATGGCAAGGGATGCCCCATGGCCAATCCTACAGCACCGATCTTGGTCTTTAGTGAATTTCCGTTGTAAAGCTAACTTGACTTATTATATAGGGACTTCAATAGCATAAGTATGCTTAATGAGGATATACAAAATATTGAACAAGTAGATACTGGCCAGGTTACCATCAGGTGAAGTAGAATCAAACTACATCCTTCCACATTCGAAGATTATACTTTCCCAATTAAATTTCACGCCAAGGTAGATAGATACATGTAAAGACACATACACATATACACACACGTATACACACATATATTTGCACATATAAACACATTGTATATTTGTTATGATTTGTTATTCCCCCTTCTCTCTGTGCATATGTGTATGTGTGTGTGTATATATATATATATAAACACGCACGTATACACATACATATATACACACGTGTATATATGTGTACACATATGTGTCTATACATTTATTTATTTATTTATTTCGGGTACTTTTACCCCGCCCTTCTCAACCCCCGAAGGAGGACTCAGGGCGGCTTACAAAAAAGGCACAATTCAATGCCTATACAAGTTACACATAATATACAAAAACGTAGTTAAAAACAGTTATCACAATTAAAACAATCAACAACCAGTACATAACACGTCATATAAAACATCATATAAAAAACCATTCCTATGATCAGCGTTTCGTTTTCCAGAGTTCCATAGATCCAATCCATTAATCATTTTCTCGTCATTATACAAACGTGTGTATATATGTGTGTGTGTGTGTGTACACACACATATATACACATATATGTACTCACATATATACACTTGTGTATATATATTGACCTTGAAGGAGCTGGGGGTGGTGACAGCCAACAGGGAGCTCTGGCGCGGGCTGTCCATGAGGTCACGAAGAGTCAGAAACAACTGAACGAATGAACAACAAATACACACATATATGTACACACATATATACATGTGTGCATATATGTATGTGTAAACTGTGTGTGTATATATATATATTTATATGTACATACATATATGTACACACATATATCCATGTGTGTATATGTGTGTGTATACATGTGTGTATATTTATTTATATATATATACACACACACATAAGGAAGGGGGAAAACAAATCACAAAGATATACTATACTTGGTTAGGTTAGGCGATCCCTTGTTGGACGAGTAAGATGGTCTTCCTTGATGGGTTTCCTTGTGGGTTCGTAGGTGGCTGTGGAGCCCTATTCTTGACCCGCATCTTCTCCCACAGTGAAGGCATTCCTTCTGGCATGTTTCTCTCTTTCACCCTCCACTTGTGCCTCCTCGAATTCTGCAGCACTGCTGGTCACAGCTGACCTCCAGCTGGAGCGCTCAAGGGCCAGGGCTTCCCAGTTCTCAGTGTCTATGCCAGTTTTTAAGGTTGGCTTTGAGCCCATCTTTAAATCTCTTTTCCTGTCCACCAACATTCCGTTTTCCGTTCTTGAGTTCAGAGTAGAGCAAATGCTTTGGGAGACGGTGGTCAGGCATCCGGACAACATGGCTGGTCCAGCGGAGTTGGTGGCGGAGGACCATCGCTTCAATGCTGGTGGTCTTTGCTTCTTCCAGCACGCTGACGTTTGTCCGCTTGTCTTCCCAAGAGATTTGCAGGATTTTCCGGATGCAGCGCTGATGGAATCGTTCCAGGAGTTGCATGTGACGTCTGTAGACAGTCCACGTTTCGCAGGCATAGAGCAGGGTTGGGAGGACAATAGCTTTTAAACAAGCACCTTGGTATCCCTACGGATGTCCCGGTCCTCAAACACTCTCTGCTTCATTCGGAAAAATGCTGCACTCGCAGAGCTCAGGCGGTGTTGTATTTCGGTGTCAATGTTGACTTTGGTGGAGAGGTGGCTGCCAAATGGTCAACATTTTCTAATGTTACACCATTATGTTGTATCTCTGGCATTGGGGAGGGGATGGTGGGTGACTGCTAGGACAGCACTTTGGTTTTCTCAATGTGTGTATGTATAGTAAGAAGTATGTACATACATACATGTACACACATATACACATGTGTGTATGTGTATATACACACATACAAACACACTTATATATACAAGTGTGTGTATTTATATATATTTATATAAATATACACACACACATAAGGAAGGGGGGAATAACAAACCACAAAGATATGCTATGTATACTATACACACACATATATACACACACACTATATAGAGAGAGGGAGAGTATTTATATAAATCACTTAAAACAATCTTTTCCTCCATAGTACAAGTTTGTAAAGTGATCTGCGCCTGCAATGTTGAGGTTGAGAAATTTGAAAACAAAAAAAAGTTGGGTTTTTAATCTATTGCATAGGATGCAAACTGGTCCCTTTCTGAAAGGGTTAAGGGCACAGAGTTGGAGTGCCTAGAGTGGCCGTGTGGCGGTACAGCGGAAGTGGGTGTCCTCCTCCTCCTGTCCCCCCTCCTTCCCGCTTCCGGTCCGTCGCTGTTCCTTCCCCGGGTGCGAAACTGCCCTTTGTATGTTTCTCCGCCATCCTCCGAGCCATGGAGCCTTAGGAGGGGAGATGCCCAGGCGGAAAGGTGAGGCCGAGGGAGCGGGGAATGGGGACTGGCCGGGTTTCAGGCTCGTTTCAGGGGTGGGAAGGGGGGTCAGCGTTCAATTCGGAGGGGGATGAGGGAAGAAGGATCCCCAGTCACATGACTCAGGGCTGGCATTGGCTTCTCAGCCTGTGAGCCTGAGCTCAACCCCATTGGAGTCCCATTGAGCCTCCTTTGGGGCAGGCAACTTTAGAGCCTCACCCTGAGACAAACAATAATACTAATACCAAGTGTAGACTCTGCAAGGAAGCAGACATAACGATAGATCACATCCTCAGCTGCTGCAAGAAGATCGCGGAGACAGACTACAAGCAGAGGCACAACACCGTTGCTCAGATGATTCATTGGAACTTGTGCCACAAATACCATCTGCTTGCGACAAAGAACTGGTAGGATCACAAGCCGGAAAAAGTTACAGAGAATGAACACGTCAAGCTACTCTGGGACCTCCGAATTCAGACAGACAGAGTTTTGGAGCACCAGACATCCTGAGGAGTGAGGTTGAATGGGCCTTAAGAAGCGTTGCTAACAACAAGGCAGCAGGAGACGACGGGATCCCAGCTGAACTGTTTAAAATCTTAAAAGATGATGCTGTCAAGGTGATGTATGCCATATGCCAGCAAATATGGAAAACACAAGAATGGCCATCAGACTGGAAAAAATCAACTTATATCCCCATACCAAAAAAGGGAAATGCGAAAGACTGCTCAAACTTCCGTACAGTGGCCCTTATTTCTCATGCCAGTAAGGTAATGCTCAAGATCCTTCAAGGAAGACTCCAGCAATACATGGAGCGAGAGTTGCCAGATGTTCAAGCTGGGTTTAGAAAAGGCAGAGGAACGAGAGACCAGATTGCCAATATCCGCTGGATAATGGAGAAAGGCAGGGAGTTTCAGAACAACATCTACTTCTGCTTCATTGACTATTCTAAAGCCTTTGACTGTGTGGATCATAATAAATTGTGGCAAGTTCTTAGTGGGATGGGCATACCGAGCCACCTTGTCTCTCTCCTGAGGAATCTGTACAAGGACCAAGTAGCAACAGTCAGAACTGACCACGGAACAACAGACTGGTTCAAGATTGGGAAAGGCGTACGGCAAGGCTGCACTCTCACCCAACCTTTTTAACGTGTGTGCAGAACACATCATGCGATGTGCGGGGCTTGATGAATGCAAAGCTGGGGTGAAAATTGCTGGGAGAAACATTAACAACCTCAGATATGCAGATGACACCACTCTGATGGCCGAGGAGGAGCTGAGGAGCCTTCTAATCAAGGTGAAAGAAGAAAGCGCAAAAGCCGGGTTGCAGCTAAACATCAAAAAAACCAAGATTATGGCAACAAGAATGATTGACAACTGGAAAATAGAGGGAGAAATGGTGGAGGCCGTGACAGACTTTGTATTTCTAGCGCAAAGATTACTGCAGATGCAGACTGTGCAGCCAGGAAATCAGGACGCTTACTTCTTGGGAGGAGAGCAATGTCCAGTCTCGATAAAATAGTGAAGAGTAGAGACATTAGACTGACAACAAAGATCCGCCTAGTCAAAGCCATGGTATTCCCTGTAGAAACCTACGGATGTGAGAGCTGGACCTTAGGGAAGGCTGAGCGAAGGAAGATCGATGCTTTTGAACTGTGGTGTTGGAGGAAAGTTCTGAGAGTGCCTTGGACTGCGAGAAGATCCAACCAGTCCATCCTCCAGGAAATAAAGTCCGACTGCTCACTGGAGGGAAGGATACTAGAGACAAAGTTGAAGTACTTTGGCCACATCATGAGGAGACAGCAAAGCCTAGAGAAGACAATTATGCTGGGGAAAGTGGAAGGAAAGGAAGAGGGGCCGACCAAGGGCAAGATGGATGGATGGCATCCTTGAAGTGATTGGACTGACCTTGAAGGAGCTGGGGGTGGTGACGACTGACAGGGAGCTCTGGCGTGGACTGGTCCATGAGGTCACGAAGAGTCAGAGACGACTGGAGAACAATACTCCTGACCTCACAATCGTGTTAAAAAACAAAGTATGGATTGTCGATGTTGCAATCCCAGGTGACAGCAGGATTGAAGAGAAACAACTGGAAAAGCTGACATGATATGAGGATTTAAAGATTGAACTGCAAAAACTCTGGCACAAGCCAGTCAAGGTGGTCCCTGTGGTGATGGGCACACTGGGTGTAGTGCCTAAAGACCTTGGCCTGCACTTAAACACAGTTGGCACTGACAAAATTACCACCTGTCAGCTGCAAAAGGCCACCTTACTGGGATCTGCATGCATTATTTGCCGGTACATCACACAGTCCTAGACACTTGGGAAGTGTCCGACCTGTGAGCCAATACAACAGCCAGCAGAGTTACCTTGTTTGCTGTGTACTCATCTTGTTGTGTTTCAAATAATCATAATAATCATCTTTATTTATACCCCGCCACCATCTCTCCAAAGTGGACTCAGGGAGGCTAACATGAGGCCAAGCCCAAAGATACAATACAACAAAATAAAATACAGAATGCAGACAACAAAAATTACATCAAAATAAAATACATACAGTAGCAAAATAAAATAAATAAAACAAATTAACACAATATAAAAACTGCCAGCAGAGTGACCTTGTTTGCTGTGTACAGGTTTTGTTTATATATTTCATGTCAAAAGCATTGCATCAATAAATAAGTAAATAAATATCAAACTGATAAAATAAAGGGAGTGCAAGCAGCTAAATGATTTCAGACCAAAATCCAGCAACAGCGACCGCATTATCTGTTGCTTTAGACAGTTCTTCCTTTGTGCATGAGGCAGAGCATGATGGGCCCTGGTTCATGCACATATATACTAATATACACACGCAGACATATGTACACACAGATATATATATATACAAACACATACACATATATACTCACACAGATGCAGAGTTAGTTCTACTCCACGGTCGCACAATTGCACAATTCGGTTAATCCGGTGCGATGAAGTTGATGATCAAGGACTGGTAATTATAGACGAAATTGGATTATGATTTTAACTAAGAGATGCATTGGTCTATATTGGTGGCCCGATACTGTGTACTGTATATGTATTTTATGTTTTTAAATTGAATATTGTTGTTTTAAGTGTTGTAAACCGCAATGAGTCGCCGTTTTAGGCTGAGATATTAGCGGTATACAAGCGCATTAATAAATAAAATAAATAAATAAATTCTTCTAGGTCAGTGGTTCTCAACCTTTCTAATGCCACTATCCTTTTATACAGTTCTTCGTGTTGCTGTGACCCAACCATAAAATTATTTCCATTGCTATGTAATAACTGTAATTTTCTTACTGCTATGAATCGTAATGTAAATATCTGATATGCAAGGGGTATTTTCATTGTGTTGTCGAAGGCTTTCATGGCCGGAATCACTGGGTTGCTGTGAGCGCATATCTATGGCAGGCATGCTCAGAGATTGAGAGATCTGTTGGAAACCAAGCAAGTGGGGTTTATATATCTGTGGAATGTCCATGGTGGGAGAAAGAACTTTTGTCTGTTTGAAGCCAGTATGAATATGAATACAAACCCCAGTTGCGTAGTTTCCCACAGATCTCACAACCTCTGAGGACGCCTGCCATAGATGTGGGTGAAACATCAGGAGAGAATGTTTCTGGAACATGGCCATACAGTCTGGAAAACTCACAGCAACCCTGTATTTTCATTGTTGCAAATTGAACATAATTAAAACATAGTGATTAATCATAAAAACAATATGTAATCTATATAAATAAAAATGTAATGTTCATTTGTGGGATTAACGTAACTCAAAAACCACTGGACGAACTGACACCAAACGTGGACACAATACACCTATCAGGCCAATGAGTGTCCATCACCCCTAAAAACACACAAAAAACCCAGCAGAACGGACTTAAACCCCCCAAAATAAACTATATATACATATACGCATACACTCATATACTTATACACATGCACACATACATACAGACACACACATATATGTACACAAGCACACACAAATATACACATACATATACACATGCATACATACACACATATACATATACACATATAAACACAGAAATACACAAATATATACACACGTATTCACACATATGCACACACACATACATCTATCTATATATTTGAGTATATGTGTATATATGTGTGTTTGCATATATAGATATACATGCATATACACACACACAACATATGTACAGACTGGGCCACAGCAACGCGTGGCAGGGGACGGCTAGTGTGTGTGTGTGTGTGTTGAAATGTTTATTTCCAATTACAAATAAATGAAATTTGACTTGAAGCATGGTGTAGCGTGATATAATGTAACAACAGTAAACTGCATTGCTACATGTTGCCTAGGCAACATGTAAATTTTATTTTCATTCAATTCTTTTTTCATTTAGAATGATCTGATCTTTTCAGACAAATCGAGGCATTTTTTGCAGACGGCTGGCTGTAATTTGGTCCTTACAATGATAAAATGTTTGAGATGGAAATTGACAGAGCAACTTTGAAGAGAAAAATATGCTATTTTTAAAAGGAAAAGTAAAGCTATTTTATCTATAGGAGACAACACTGTTGAACTACAACTCTTGAGACCAGGGTTCGATTCTCCCCTTGGCTGTAGACATCCACAGGATGGCCTAAGAAAGTCACATACTCTCAGTCTTAGAAGACCCTGCAACAGAATCCTAGAGAGAGAAGAGACCCCAAGGGCCATCCAGTCCAAACTCATTCTGCCAGACAGGGATATAAAATCAAAGCACTCCCAACAGATGGCTACCCAGCCTCTGCTTAAAATCCTCCAAAGAAGGAGACTTCGCCACACTCCCAGGCAGCAGGATGTTTCAGTGCCAACCAGCTCTTACTGTCTGGAAGTTCTTCCTAATCTTTAGGTGGAATCTTTTTTCCTGTCGTTTGAATCTATGGTTCCATGTCTTTGTCTCCAGAGCAGTTGAATCACTGGGTTGTTGTAGGTTTTTCCGGGCTATATGGCCATGTTCTAGAGGCATTTTTTCCTGATGTTTCGCCTGCATCTATGGCAAGTATCCTCAGAGGCACCTCACTACCTCTGAGGATGCTTGCCATAGATGCAGGCGAAACGTTAGGAAAAAATGCCTCTAGAACATGGCCATATAGCCTGGAAAAACCTACAACAACCCAAAATCTATAGTTTTATTTGGCACTGAGATATAACACAACTTTATCACTCCACCCTTTGAATTTGGAATGTTTCTGACTGTGAATTTGATAACCTGGCAATATAATGGTCAATACAATATTTGGTTCGATCTGAGGCATAATTTTTAGTCCCACCCATGGTTAAATACCCAAAACATAATAATGAGCAAAATCATGCAATCACTATTTTAAGGGCCATCTTTTCTTCTTCAGTTTTAAAGTTAGTATAATGTTTCGCCCACTGGTTTCCTGTCCAGATGATAGAAACGTTTTAATTCATTGTGAAGCAGCTCTGGTTCCCAGACTTTGTGAAAGTTACTTTTTTTAGTATACTCTGTCAAAGCAGCTTTGTGATGTCATGTATGACTGGGATAGAAATCATGGTTTCCAAGTCTAGCCTTCACAGCAGGAAAGGATTGTATGGAAGATGGCAGGTTTTTGAGGTTCAGTTCGATTGAAATATTCTCTCTAGGAATCTTGGCAGTGTAGAAGGGACCTAAGTCCTCCAGTGTGATTCTATGGCTGTCATACTGAGGACTTAGAGATTACTAGAGATGACATCTTTTTAGGAATCGGAACTAGGAAACAGAACAATGGTTCAAACTACAGGAAAGGAGATTCCCCCTGAACATTAGGAAGAAATTCCTAACTGTGAGAGCAGTTCAGCAGTGGAACTCTCTGCCCTGGAGTGTGGTGGAGGCTCCTTCTTTGGAGGCTTTTAAGCAGAGGCTGAGTGGCCATCTGTCAGGGGTGCTTTGAATGTGATTTTCCTTCTTCTTGGCAGAAAGGGGTTGGACTGGATGGCCCACGAGGTCTCTTCCAACTTAGTGATTCTATGACTCTCTAGGTCCACCAATGCACTTATTTGGTCAGCTTCCACAGAACTTGTCTGTAGAATTGTGTTGAAGGGATGTAAAATTTTCAAAAGAGATCTTCTTTCAGGTTAAAAAAATAGCAATTATTTTATCCATAGTATTGTCAAAGGCTTTCATGGCCGGAATCACTGGGTTGTTGTAGGTTTTTTCGGGCTATATGGCCATGTTCTAGAGGCATTCTCTCCTGACGATTTGCCTGCATCTATGGCAAGCATACTCACTACCTCTGAGGATGCTTGCCATAGATGCAGGCGAAACGTCAGGAGAGAATGCCTCTAGAACATGGCCATATAGCCCAAAAAAATCTACAACAACCCACTTTATCCACATTTTTTCATTTTTGCAGAGGGCTGGGTGTAATTTGGTCCTGTAGAAAAAGTGGAAACACTGGGCTGGTTTGAAGTGTATATTAAGCATCGCATTGAACCTACCAATACTGTCCTTCCTTTTCCAGCTCTGGTGGTGCAGACAGGAGGGAAAATGGCAGAGGGTGGCCGGCTGGGACCAGGCCAAAGAGAAGAACACGCAGGAAGAGAGCCACATGCTTTCCATAGAGAGGCCCTGGAAGAGAAGTTGAGTAGGACAGCGCAACCTCAGAAGAAGCAAGCCTGGGAAGGGAGACTGAAACCTCAGCCAGATGCTCAACACCCAAAAAAGGATGCCAACCCAGTGCTATCTCCTTACTCTGTGTGGAGACCATCGCGGCTATTTGAACCTCTCTCAAGTGATGATATGAAAGCATTTAAGGCTTCTTATCGAACAATAAAAGGAGCCAGTTGGTGGCCGGGAGGAGGAGGGGGTGCAACGACAATGCATATGTTGCCAGGCCTCAACCGAAAAACCCAAGAGGCCTGTGGAAGCTCGGAAGGTTCGGCGAGGGTGAAGGAAGAGATTCCAGAGGAGGCCAACTCAGACCGATTAGAAATCAAGCGTCAGCATTTCCGGCACTTCTGTTACCAGGAGATCGAAGGGCCCCGGGCAGTCCTGAATGAACTGCAGAAACTTTGCCACCAGTGGCTAGTGCCGGAGGGGCACACCAAGGAGCAGATTGTGGATCTGGTGATCCTGGAACAGTTTCTGACCATCCTGCCCCTGGAGATGCAGATCTGGGTGTGCGAAAGCGGGCCCGCCACTTGCGCCCAGGCTCTGGCCTTGGCCGAAAGCTTCCTCTTGAGGCTGCAAGAGGCCGAGAACCATGGACAAAAGGTAAGGACTCCAAGCATAGGAAATTGCTTTGGCAGAAGAAGTGTAATCCGCCCTCCACCTTTGATGGGGTTTATGGGCACAGAACCCTCACAAAATGGGAGGGGGACACACACAAGTAAAGTTATTTATTTATTTGTCGTGTCAGGGCAACCAGTTATTTATATTACATTTCTAACAGAACAAAGCAAACAAACACAAAATACAAAATTTGTGAGTTTGGTAGTTGATTAAATGTCCTTTGACCAGTAGCTGGCCACTTGTGAGTGCTTCTGATGTTGCTGCAAGAAGTTCCTCCATTGTGCATGTGGCAGGGCTCAGGTTGCATTGCAGCAGGTGGTCATTGGTTTGCTCTTCTCCACACTCGCATGTTGTGGATTCCACTTTGTAGCCCCATTTCTTGAGGTTGGCTCTGCATATTGTGGTGCCAGAACGCAGTGTGTTCAGCGCCTTCCAAGTCGCCCAGTTTTCTGTGTGCCCAGGAGGGAGTCTCTCCTTTGGTATCAGCCATTGGTTGAGGTTTTGGGTTTGAGCCTGCCACTTTTGGACTCTCGCTTGCTGAGGTGTTCCAATGAGTGTCTCTGTAGATCTTAGAAAACTATGTCTAGATTTAAGTCGTTGACGTGCTGGCTGATACCCAAACAGGGGATGAGCTGGAGATGTCTCTGCCTTGGTCCTTTCACTATTGGCTGCTACTTCCTGGTGGATGTCAGGTGGTGCAATACCGGCTAAGCAAAGTATCTATTGATTTTAACCTGGGAGAACGCCTTTCTAAGAATAGCTATATCAGGAGTGTCAAACTCATTTTCACCAAGGGCTGCATCAACCTTATGGCTGCCTTCAAAAGGCTGACTGTAATTGTAAGACTATACATCAGGCCTCTTCAAGCTGCAGCCCTCCAGGTGTTTTGGATTTCAGCTCCCAGAATTCCAGACCATTGAACAAGATGACTGGGGCTTCTGGGAATTGGAGGGCCACAGCTTGAAGAACCCTAGTATAAATGTAATTATGTTGCCCTGGCATTGAAAGCCCCATGGGCCACATAAAATGACATGGCGGACTGGATTCAGGCCACAGGCCTTGCATTTGGTACGTGTGCTCCTTCTAGAGCTGCTTTATTAATCACACCCCAAAAGTGGAGGATCAACTGTAGTTGTAGTTATAGTTCCAAGGCCTGAAAGAAGCTGTCAGTTATGCATATATATTTTAGAATCAAAATATTTTCATTTCTCTTGTAAACTACTGTATTTATTCAAATCTGAGACACACTTTGCCTCTCTATATAAATATCTCTAATAACGGGGTGCACCTTAGAGTCGTTATGTATTTTTATTGGTGGGGGTATTGAAATTAGGATTAATTAAAAATATTACATATAATATAAACCATATAAAAGAAAAACCAATAAAAGCCATAAAACACAACTCCTCAGCGTCTCATCACTAAAATCCTTTTTCCGTTGCATTGTCCAATTGTTCCGTGGATCTCAATTAGTCTGTAAGACTGCATCTGCAAATGCCTGCTCAAACAGCCAGGTTTTGACTCTCTTTTGAAATGTTAGGAGGGAGAGGGCCGATCTAATATCCCTAGGGAGGGTGTTCCATAGCCGAGGGGCCACTGATGAGAAGGCCCTGTCTCTCATTCCCACCAATTGTATCTGCGAAGGGGGTGGGACTGAGAGCAGGGCATCTCCAGGCGATTTTAAGCGCCTAGATGGTTCATAGGGAGAGATGTGTTTATTTATTTATTTACCCCACTAGCCGTCCCCTGCCACGCGTTGCTGTGGCCAACATGGGGGTTCTGTGTGGGAGGTTTAGCCCAATTCTATCGTTGGTGGGGTTCAGACTGTTCTATGATTGTAGGTAAACTATAAATCCCAGCAATTACAACTCCCGAATGTCAAGGTCTATTTCCCCCAAACTCCAGCAGTGTTCACATTTGGCCATATTGAGTATTCGTGTAGTTTGGTCCAGATCCATCATTCTTTGAGTCAGCAGTGCTCTCTGGATGTAAGTGAACTACAACTCCCAAACTCAAGGTCAATGCCCACCAAACCCTTCTAGTGTTTTCTGTTTTCTGTTGCTCATGGGAGTCCTGTGTGTCACCTTTGGTTCAATTCAATCATTGGTGGAGTTCAGAATGCTCTTTGATTGTAGATGAACTATAAATCCCAAGAACTACAACTCCCAAATGACAAAATCAAAAAAAATTGAGTGAAGGACATACATTGGGTTGTTAGGTGTCTTGTGTCCAAATTTGGAGTCAATTCACCTACTGCTTTTTGAGTTCTGTTAATCCCACAAACGAACATTACATTTTTATTTATATAGATTTATATCCCACCCTTCTCAACTCTGAAAGGGGACATGGGGTGACCTTACAAAGGCAACAATTCAATGCCATATGTTAATACATCGGTAAATAAACAAAAACATTAAAAGCAAACCCATTAAAAACATAGCAATAAAACATCAATCAAAATCACAGAGATACTCTAGTTTCTCTTCAGATCGTATAAATCTTTCACCTTTTGTGAAGGTAGCAGACTCTGAATGTAGGAGTATTCATAGAGATAGGTGTGTGGGTCCATTTTAGCTTTAGAAGGTGCAAAGGAATTCAATAGCTGTTGTGAGACTAACTGGAAAGAAGAAATTTCTTGTATGAGGATGTATGACCTCAGGTTGTTTTCTTCCCACTTTGTCTTAAGGGAGAACTTCACATCTTAAAGTATCTGAATACTACATCTTGCTGTCCTGTTTTTGTATTTAAAAACCCACAAAAATATTTGCTTCCTGTTCACCTCATTGTTGTTGCAACGCTTGCTCCATAACACGAGACATACCATCACATGCATCCACACTGGAACCAAGTGCTAGTCATCTGCCATCATTTCATAAAACTTCAGCCTCATATTGAAAAGAAAAAAAACCAAAACGTTACAATCATAATACTCTGTGACTGGCTTTATGCATTGTTAAGTTACTGTTGCAGAGATATAGTGTTACACCTTTGCAAAGTAGAAAAACGAATTAGTTACAAGTAGTGAGTTATTTGTATTGTCGAAGGCTTTCATGGCTGGAATCACTGGGTTGTTGTAGGTTTTTCCGGGCTATATGGCCATGTTCTAGAGGCATTTTCTCCTGATGTTTCACCTGCATCTATGGCAAGCATCCTCAGAGGTAGTGAGGTCTGTTGGAAGTAGGAAAATGGGTTTATATATCTGTAGAATGACCAGGGTGGGACAAAGGACTTTTGTCTGCTGGAGCTAGGTGTGAATGTTTCAACTGACCACCTTGATTAGCATTTAATGGCTTGGAAGTGCCTGGGGGAATCTTTTGTTGAGAGGTGATTTGATGTGCCTGATTCTTTACTCTCTGTTGTTTTGTTGTTGTAATTTTTGAGTTTTTTCCCAGTTCTTCACTCACCTGGCTAGTACCTCCTTCTACAGGTTGCTTGGGATCCAGGAGTGTTGGACTCCAACTGTCATCCCCAGCCTTGCTTTCTTTAGTTGTAGAGGAGGAGGGAGCATGGAGTTCATAGACTATGTCCCACCGGGGCCAGCTTTCTCCATCTCCTCCAAGGTTGGAATCACGCCCCATGAGGAGCGACCAAGGGAACTGGGTATATGTAGCAAGAAGATTAAAGGGGGATATCATATTGAGAAGGGGGCAAACTTGTTTTCTGGTGCTCAAGAGGTTAGGATGTGGAGTAATGGATTGATTCAACCTGCGTTATGACCCTCACATCTGCAGAACCATTGTCCCCGATTTGATTGTCCTCTGGTGCAACTCTTGGCATTTCCGGGCCAGAAGTCCTTCATTTCAACCAGTATTGTTATTATCTGTGTTTCCGTGTATCCATATGAAGCCCAGGATCCTATCACCACAGATATGGAGGTTGTAGTGTACAGAAAAAGAGATTCCACCTAATCATTAGGAAGAACATCCTGACAGTATAAGTTGTCTTCACATATGATGGGATCTCTTTTCTTGGAGGTTTTAAAGGAAAGGCTGGATGGCCATCTGTTGGGAGCAATTTAATTATCTATTACTGCGTATTTGAGGGCTGGATTCGATAGCTCTTGGGGTCTCTTCTTACTTAATGAACCTTTGGTTCTATGACACGTGCATTGACTTCAGGGTCTACACCCTGGACCTCTGGTTCATTCACTAATAACACTTGTTTACATTTCAGGGGTCTGGATTATTGCAAGAAGCGTATGTTAATTCCCCAACATTGAAGCAGGATCCCTTGGACAGTCTGGAGAGTTCCCTTTCCAGAGATGATGAGGATGGAGAAGAAGGGGAAGAAGAGCAAGAGGAGCAACCAGAAGGTATATCTTGCAGATCAGTCCTGATGTTTTTAGATCAAATGTCACTTTCCATGTAACATGTTTTTTGTTCCTGGGTTGTAAATGTCCTTTCCTAATTAGTTCTATCATAAAAACATGGTAAAAGTTTATTTGAAAGGGCCCCTCAGCGACTGTTGGAGAGAACCTGGTTAGTAGGCAAGGCTCCCTCCCTCTCAGTGGCTGGTGGAATGGCAGTTAAAGATGGTGGAAGGGCCCCTCAGCAGCTGCTGGAGAGTACCTGGTTGGTAGTTGGCTCCCTCTCACTCAGTGGATGGTGGAATGGCAACTAATAGATGGCGGAAGGACCATTCAACAGGTTTGGGTTTTTAAAGAAAGGAACTGCCTTATTAGTTTAATGCTTTCATTCAGTCAGAACAATATTTTAAAACTGGGTTGTTGTAGGTTTTTTCCCAGTTCCAACAGACCTCACTACCTCTGAGGATGCTTGCCATAGATGCAGGCGAAACGTCAGGAGAGAATGCCTCTAGACCATGGCCATATACCCCGAAAAAACCTATAACAACCCAGTGATTCCAGCCATGAAAGCCTTCGACAATACATTGAACCCCTGACTGTTGGGCATATGACTTTTGACACTACAATCCTTTTTATTTCAGAACGTGAAGAACGCATGTGGGATAAGGCAGAGAAAGCAGCCTTTTTGCTGGGAATCTCTGAGCCCATGGAATGGGGATTACCTCTGGACAGAACCACAGGGAAGCTTTTCCCGGATCCCGAGTCCAAAGAGATATTTGGGAATCAGCAAGAAAACTATCCAGGGAAAGCCCCGAAGCAAGCCCTTTGTTCCGTGGAAACTGAAAACAAACGGAGCTTCCAAGAGGGGACCATCGGTCAGAAGAAGAGGGCAAAGAGCAGCTCTGAAAACGGTCTCCATCAGAGCTTTGGCTTCCTGAAGCATCAGAAAGTGCAGACCGTGGACAAGCCCCCACGGTGTACCCCCTGCGGCGAACGTTTCCAAAAGAGATCGTGTGGAGAGCAGCCATATAAGCTACCTCAGCTTGGAAACGAGCTGCCCAAGTGTGTTACTTCGCTGCGGCGTGACGAAAGCCTTCCTGACATCCCGGACGGTGGCTGCAGATGTAAGGCCAAAAAGAGAGGCCACGAGTGTGGACACTTTTTTCCGCTGAGCTCCGACCGCTGGAAAGTGCCCAAGGGAGATAAACTGTCCAAAGGTGCGATGCGTGGGGAAAGGGTGATGTGGCTGTCGCCCTTCCCGAGTCACGAGAAGAACGACCACGTGGGGAAACCCCACCAGTGCATTGACTGTGGCAAGCGTTTCAGCCAGAAGGGCAACCTCAACATCCACCGGAAAACCCACACGGGGGAGAAGCCCTATCCGTGCTCAGAGTGCGGCAAATGCTTTGTGACTAACTCCCGGCTGCTCACGCACAAGAGGGTGCACACGGGGGAGAAGCCGTACAACTGTTCATACTGCGGCAATAACTTCAGCCAGCTGGCCCACTTGGTCCAGCACCAGCGGAGGCACACCGGGGAGAAGCCCTACAGTTGCCCCTACTGTGGGAAAAGCTTCAGCGTGAAGGCCAACCTCATCACGCACCAGCGCACCCACACGGGAGAGAAGCCCTACGAATGCTCCGAGTGTCCGAAAAGCTTTGTCTCCAGTTCCGATCTCAAAAAACATAAAAGGGTACACACTGGGCAACTGTATACATGAGTGCTAGTTTCGGATTTTAATGTAGTCATTCCTATTATTATTAATGTAGACAAGGAAATTTTCACATGTGTGGACAGAGCCCTTGGCACACTGTGAGAGGAAAATAAATAAAGGCTTTTTTTAAAAAAAAATATTGCTTGCATTGTTTATGTTAATGCTTTTGTTTTCCCTGAAGGTTGACCCTCCTGTTTAGTAGGGCAGAATGGGAAATAATAATACCTTTTGCTTGTTACCTGTTTCACCTCATGGCTCGAGGTGGGGTCCAGTACATACATACATACATTTATTTAGAACATTTTTACCCCGCCCTTCTCAACCCCTAGGGCAGTGGTTCTCAACCTTCCTAATGCTGTGACCCCTTAATACAGTTCCTCATGTTGTGGTGACCCCCAGCTATAAAATTATTATAGGCTAATCAATATATGCTATATGCTATAAAATTATTATATGCCATTATATGCTAATCAAGGTGGTCAGTTGAAACATTCACACCTAGCTCCAGCAGACAAGAGTCCTTTGTCCCACCCTGGTCATTCCACAGATATATAAACCCTTTTTCCTAGTTCCAACAGACCTCACTACCTCTGAGGATGCTTGCCATAGATTCAGGCGAAACGTCAGGAGAGAATGCCTCTAGACCATGGCCATATAGCCCGAAAAAACCTACAACAACCCAAAATTATTTTTGTTGCTACTTCATAACTGTAATTTTACTACTGTTGTGGATCATAATGTAAATATTTGATATGCAGGATGCATTTTCATTCACTGGACCAAATTGGCACAAATACCCAATATGCCCGAATTTGAATACTGGTGGAGTTGTGGGGAGGGGTTGATTTTGTCATTTGGGAGTGGTAGTTGCTGGGATTTATAGTTCACCTACAATCACAGAGCATTCTGAACTCCACCAATGGTGGAATTGAACCAAACTTCCCACACAGGTCCCCCTGACCAACAGAAAATACCGGGTTTGCTGGCATTGACCTTGGGTTTTGGAGTTGTAGTTCACCTACACCCAGAGAGCACTGTGGACTCAAACAATTATGGATGTAGACCAAACGTGGCACAAATACTCAATATGCCCAAATATGAACACTGGTGGAGTTTGGGGAAATGATCTTGACATTTGGATGTTGTAGTTGCTCGGATTTATAGTTCACCAACAATCAAAGAGCATTCTGAACCCCACCAATGATGGAATTGGGACAAACTTTTCGCACCCCCATGACCAACAGAAAATCCTGTGTTTTCTGATGGTCTTTGGTGACCCCTCTGGTCGTGACCCCCAGGTTGAGAAACACTGCCCTAGGGGGACTCAGGGTGGCTTCCAATTGGCAACAATTCGATGCCGCATAATAAAATACAAATAGTAATTATAACAGTTAAAAGCATAAACATCTAGCCATGTACTATTGAGTACTCTGCTTAACTTATCCAAATCAATTTCCAAGCCATAGTCAAGATTATCAATTGTCCTTTAACCTAATTGCCCGAAGGTCTGGTCCCACATCCACATTTTTACCTTCTTTCTAAAGGTGAGGAGGGATGATGATGACCTAATTTCCCCGGGAAGTGAATTCCACAGGTGGGGGGCCACCACCGAGAAGGCCCTTTTCCCCATCCCTGTCAAACGTGTTTGAGACAGAGGCGGGGCCGAGAGCAGCCACCCCCCCAGAAGATTTTAAACTCCGAGGTGGGACATAGATGGAGATACGTTCGGACAGGTACGCTGGACTGGAGCTGTATATGTGAAATCACATCAACATAAAATATATACAGCGAAATAAATATAATAAAACACATTAGTATAAAATACATATATCAAAACACAAGGTAAAGGTTGCCCCTTGACATTAAGTCTAGTCGAGTCTGACACTGGGGGTGGTGCTCATTTAGATTTCTAAGCTGAAGAGCTGGCATTGCCCATAGACACCTCCTTGGTTATGTGGCCAGCATGACTACATGGAATGCTGTTACCTTCCCGCCGGAGCGGTACCTATTTATATACTCAAGTATTAACTGACCCAAATATAAGCCAAAGCACCTAATTTTACCACAAAAAAACTGGGAAAACATATTGACTCAAGTATAAGCCAAGGGTGGGAAATGCAGCAACTACTGGTAAATTTCAAAATAGAAATAGTTAGCAATTAAATTAACTGAGGCATCAGTAGGTTAAATGTGTTTGAATATTTACATAAAACTGGGATTTAAGATAAAACTGTCCAACTCTGATTAAATCATTATTCTAACCTCCTTCAATGTCAGAATGCTTATATATCCTTCCAATAAGGAAGCATGCATACTCAGCAACAGAGTAGCAAAGTGCAAGGGCAGATGTATCTGGCTGTGATCCCCAGGTTATGCTAGTCAGCTTTCATATGATATTGTTTCTAGTGCCCACTTTTTGCTTGATATTCAGGCAGTGCTTCTTGTAGATCAGAAAACGGTCCAGGGAAACTCCCAGGTATTTGGGGTTTTCCCTGTAATAGGCAGTAAGAGCACCGAGAGCTTCGGAGAGCTTCTGTTCAACCATTTCAAAGCTCCCTGCTTGCGCGGTGATGGCACGATCGTCAGTGTAGATTAAACTCTCTGTCCCTTCTGGCAGTGGTTGGTCATTTGTGTAAATGTTGAACGTCGATGGAGAAAGCATGCTCCCCTGAGGCAGGCTGTTCTTCTGTTTTTGCCATCTGTTTCTTTGGCCCTGGAACTCAACAAAGAAGCTCCTGTTTCGTAACAGGGAAGGATGCTACAAAAGTAACCAGAAGAATGAGATGAAAGAGGAAGAAAAAGTGAGAAGGAGGATGAAGGGGTGGAGGAAGCAGACAGCTCGTGATAATGCGGCATGTCTCATTAAGAGCCACATCCACTGTTTTAGCGTGGTGAGATGTATTCCACACTGGGCATGTGTACTCAGCAGCAGAGTAGCAAAGTGCAAGAGCAGATGTATCTGGCTGTGATCCCCAGGTTGTGCCAGTCTGCTTTCATATGATATTGTTTCTAGCGCCCACTTTTTGCTTGACATTCAGGCAGTGCTTCTTGTAGATCAGAGAACGGTCTAGGGAAACTCCCAGGTATTTGGGTGTGCTGCAATGCTCCAGTGGGATTCCTTCCCAGGTAATCCTCAGAGCTCGGGATGCTTGTCTGTTCTTAAGATAAAAAACACCTGTCTGTGTTTTAGATGGATTAGGAATCAGCTGGTTTTCCGTGTAATAGGCAGTAAGATCACCTAGAGCTTCGGAGAGCTTCTGTTCAACCATTTCAAAGCTCCCTGCTTGAGAAGTGATGGTACGATCATCAGCATAGATGAAAGTCTCTGTCCCTTCTGGCACTGGCTGGTCATTTGTGTAAATGTTGAACGTTAATGGAGGAAGCATGTTTTTTTCTGTTTTCACCATCTGCTTCTTTGGCCCTGAAACTCAACAAAAAAGCTCCTGTTTTGTAGCAGGTTTCCTATGAGGCTGGTGACATGGTAGTCCTTTGTGATATTATACATTTTTCTCAGGAGGAGGCGGTGGTTGACAGTATCATAAGCCGCTGACAGGTCTATGAAGACAGGTCCTGTGATCTGCTGCCTTTCAAAGCCATCTTCTATGTGCTGAGTCAGGTTCAGCACTTGTGATGTGCAGCTTTTGCCTTTCCTGAAGCCAGCTTGCTGTGGAATCAGACAAGGGTCTATTTTTTCCGTAATTCTATGCAAAATAAGTCTCTCCAGAACTTTGTAAAGATGGCATAACAAGGAGATTGGTCTGTAGCTTTTTGGATCATTACGGCCTGGCTTCAAGCTTTCGTATGATATTGTTTCTAGCGCCCACTTTTTGCTTGGTATTCAGTCCGTAGCATTGAGCCATGGCACTTCAAGGGAGAAGGTCCAAATGCATTAATTCTACCCTATGAAACTGAGGTCCAAAGCTGCAAAAACTTTTTGGACTGAGATTCCCTTGATGGGTGCTGAAATCAGGCATCACCTGGACTGGAGCATGCCATGCCTTTCTGCTGCAAAGCCACACTGAATGGGTTAAGCACACTAAGCTTGTTATTTTGTCTAGAGTGGTAACAACATATGGACAGGAGAGCCCTCTTCCGGTTGGTTTTCCCTCCTCCTTTGCAGAGGGAAAGGTGGAGGACCCAGAAAAAGCTGCAGCAGAGGAGAGATTCTCAAAGGTAGGGGCACTGCAAGGTTTGACCCAGGACCAAAGCAAGAAATGCAACATAAGGAGTCATTGCAGGAAATTTGGGTCTGGAAGGAGAAAAACAAGAGGGGGTTGGAGAGACAAAGAAAGGGGTGCCAGCTTAGGGGTTGGGTGGCCAGGCACTGAAAGGCAGGGTCCAAAGGGGACCCCTGAGATCATCTAGTCCAACCACCAGTCATGCAACAAAGCCACCCAGGGCTGCAGCTGAACTGTAGGATGGATGCACTTTGATACAGCTTTCACTGCCATGGCTCAATGATATAGAATCTTGGGAATTGTAGTTTTACAAGGGTGGCTCTCAACCTGGGGTCCCCAGATGTTTTTGGCCTACAACTCCCAGAAGTCCCATCCAGTTTACCAGCTGTTAGGATTTCTGGGAGTTCAAGGCCAAAAACATGTGGGGACCCCAGGTTGAGAACCATGGGCTGGGGCCACACCAAACTACAAATCCCAGCATCACATAGCATTGAGCTGTGGCACTGAAAATTAATGTCATATGCATTGATTAGGTGCAATGTAGATGGGAGGCAGACACCCTGTTTGCCCATAGATATCTCCAAGGGTTCTGTGATTGATATATATATATATACACACACACACACACACACACACACTAGCTCGGAGACCCAGCGCATACATCTTAGGACCTAAGCACCCTAAAAGTACCAACTCCCATCTGATTTTGGAAGCTAAGCAGAGTCAGCCATAGTTCGTACTTGGATGGAGCTGCAGGCTGAGTTGTTGTTTTTAACAGAAAATGTCCAGCAAGAAAAAGCCATCAGGAGCATTTAATCATAAAAGGAAGTTGCAGCATTGCAAAGAAGAGGAGAATCAAGCTAAGGCATTGCAAAGCTAAGGCACTGACTTCACAAACGTGTGCTACAAGAAACATAGAGACAACTAAATTGACTGAATCAGATCATGACGATGATAACAAGATACCAATATCTGAGCTTCTACCTGGACCATCAACAAGTCAAGACCATCTGACCGTGACTACAGCAACACCATTAGCACCTTCAATTATTGGTTGTGACATAACTGGGACCGACACTGAAGATGTGGGTGATGATTTATTAGCTGCAGTCCTGCCATCTCGTAGTCAGCAAACCATTGAAACTGTAAGTAGATTCAATTTTAACTTGTTAGTACACATTTTAGGAAAAAATAACTGGTCTAGGCCTGTCCAGTTCATTTAGCTCTTGTTGGGAGGAGGGAGGAATGGAGGTGAAGGATGGAAAGGGAACTTTTCCAGAATTCTTTATGTTCTGTCGTGTGCTGGGCCTGTAAAGAATTTCCTTTAGAACAGGACGTGCAACCTTTGACCAGTGGGAAGCCAGGGGGCCCAAGGAGAAGTTCTCAGAGGCTTTCCACCACAAATGATCTTTAGATGGCTTGTGAAGTATAACAAAGTCCTTTATTAATGAACAATCAAACAGAAACTTCTCTTGTCTTTAGTAAAGATAAACAAATTATTCCTGGCTTTTATGCAACTGGTAGCTTCCTAAACTTGCCCACAAAGGACAGGCAACTGTCTTCAATAACTTCTTCTTTACTTTAAAGGAAAGTCCCCTTTTTAACTTCTCCCAGGCTGACTGTAATCTAACCCTTACTGATGTGGGCTCCACTACTGGGTTCAACTGCTTCTCGAATGCCAAGTGGACCTACCAGTAAAGGCTTAGATGTTCTCCAGCTGGAGTTCTTCAGTCTTTAGGGCTGTTTTCCTGGAAATCTTTGGAGTCTGTTAGGACTGTTCTCCCCCGGAAGGTCTTGATGCTCTTAAGACTGTTCTCCCCCAGAAAGTCTTAAGGGTTGAAGCTTTTGTACAGGGGAAACTTGCACACGTCCTGTACATTAGCTTTCCTTGCTGAGACTAACTAAAAATGGCTCCTTTCCTTCCCAATTGCCCTGAGCAAGGGGCGGAACCACAACTTAACAATAATGGACAGGTGACTTGCCCTATGACTGCAACCAAAGGAAACCACCTATCTGCAGAGTCCCTGAAACCTAGGACTGCAACAAACATTCAATACAAAGCAAATAAAGTTGGAGCTACTGGTACAGCCGTACCAGCACACTTTATTATAAAATATCTCAGAGCTATTTTAAGTAGATTTTATTAAAATATACATTCAGCAAATCTGTTAAGAACTGCCTCCATAATTTTATGAAACAATTTGTGTTTACCATGGTTTCAATTTATAATTAATATGCAAAATCTACCTTTCTAATTGGCCACTGCCACATGGTTTATTATATTTCCATTTTTTATTAAAGATTTCATAACAAGGTTTTGATATTGCATTGCATTAAATCTTTGAACAACTTTTAAAAGCTAACATGCACCACTTTTTTTCAGGAACTAAACAGAAACCCATTATCGTTGATTTCAAATGATTATGGAGAGTGGCCACCCAAAATACATGACGAGGTACGAAAAATACTTGTGGAACGAGGACCTCAGCAAGTCACTGACAAAGATTTTCCTCAGGACGCTAAGGGTAGGAGATTTACCTCAAATCATTACACAAGGAAGCTGTGCAATGGAGAGCAAGTCCACAGGATTTGGCTACTATATTCTATATTGGAAAAAAAACACCATTTTTTTTGTTTTGCGTGCAAAGTTTTTGGAAATGCTAATTCTCTTCTTGCTAGTATCCAAGGGTATTCTGACTGGCAGAACTTGAGCAAGATTTTGACCACTCATGAGAAATCCCATAATCATATTAAAATTGCACATCTTGGCGTGAACGTACTTAAGATCAACTTTGAGTCAAGAGCGCTTGAGTGGACTAGCAACCTTGGCCATTGAAAATGACTTCTTGGATGAAATGGATTTACTAGGACACGAATTTTCAAAATTGAAAGCCGGAAAAATCTCTTTAATTTTAAATTTTTATTTGTGTTAAGGAAAACTAAATGTCAAAGGGGCCAGAGGCTGGCTTTGTTGTCACACCCATTGCAATGGTCCAGGCTGGCGTGGCACTTCTGAAGGACAAGAGTTTGCTTCCTTAAAAAGGAGGTGTCTATTCTCCTGGGGCTGTGTTCTTCAAAACAAAACGGATTGACAGCCTCAACAAGCATGGGACTGAGTCCTGTTATTAGCAAGCCCGAAGTCTGAAACATCTTCTGAAAAGACAGCATGACCAGGAAACCTTTGTGTAGTACTTGTGGACAAAATACAACAAGAAAAACTTAAAATTGTTGCTAAGTTTAATAAAATATTCACATTCTAAAAAAAGTTAATTTGTGTTCATTCTATGTAATGTAACTATATTAACATAATGTTGTAAGTAAACTTCTGGTTTGTAAGGTAACTCTTTTATTCACCTCTAATAATAATAACAATAATAATAATAATAATAATAATAATAATAATAATAATAATAACCTTTATTTGTACCCCACTACCATCTCCCAAAGGACTCGGTGCGGCTTACAAGAGGCCGAGCCCAAATACAGTAGTAAAAACAACAGCCACAACAAACAGCAAAATAACTCAGAAAACAAAGCAATAACATTGACAACACACAATAACACAATTAAAAACAATGGCAGGGCCAAATGTAATAATTAAAATTAAAAGTGCTGGGCATGACAAGGTGGAGTGTTTTGGAGCGGGGTGGGCATGCAGATATCCTAGATCTCTGATAAAGTGCGTTGGGACATAATGCTAGGAGTTTCCTATTCTGAGAAGGCACACTGGAACAACCACGTTTTCAAGCTCCTCCTAAAGATTGCTAGTGACAGGGCCTGCCTGATGTCCTTGGGGAGAGAGTTCCAGAGTCGAGGGGCCACCACAGAGAAAGCCCTATCCCTCGTCCCCACCAATCGCGCTTGCGATGCATGTGGGATCGTGAGCAGGGACTCTCCAGATGAACAAAGAGATCGTGTAGGTTCATACACAGAGATGCGGTCACGCAGGTAGGCGGGTCCCAAACTGTTTAGGGATTTGTAGGTAAGCACCTGCACCTTGAATTGGGACTGGAAAATGAAAGGTAGCCAGTGGAGCTCCTCAAACAGGAGGGTTGACCTCTCCCTGTAAGGAGCACCAGTTAACAACCTGGCCATTGCCCGTTGGACCAATTGAAATTTCCGGGCCGTTTTCAAGGGCAGCCCCATGTAGAGTGTATTACAGTAGTCCAATCTGGAAGTGACTAAGGCGTGGACCACCCTGGCCAGATCCGCCTTCTACCTTTTATTTTTTTGTGATTTTTCAGGGGCGGGGGGCACCAAAATATTGTTTGCTTACACTTGAAAATTACCTAGGGCCGGTCCTGATGCTCACTCAATTTTTTTTTCTTTTTAGTCTTGGAGTTGCAGCTTGGAAGAGAAATGGATGAACGGGAGGCATCAGCACCCAATATAAAGGAAGGACCTGAAAAGAGGAAAGAAATTCCTCCCTTTGCCCAAGGAAACACTACAGGAGTGGTCTTGTTTACGAAAGGCCCGGTCCAATATAAGGAAGAGCCAGAGGAAGGATCCCAAAAGAGTTGGGAGTCACACTGGCAGGAATTCCTGAACACGGTGGAGTCTCGGTGCCACCAGACTGATCAGTCAGGACCACTTCATTCTTGGCCAGAGGAGGACACAAAGACATTTCAAACCTCCTTAAAGCGATCAGCAGATGGCATCCCTCAGTCAGGAGAAGAGGATGGAGTCCAAACCCACTGTGATGATGGCCCGGTCGCTGATGAAGACCAGGTATTTTGCCTGAAAGTGGAGGAGGAGGAGGAAGAGGATGAAGAAGAAGAAGCGGAGCAGAAACAGAAGCAATTCAATCTGTTGGGCTTCCAAGGCGCCAATGGGCATCAAGAGGTATGTGCCTGCTGCCTACGCCTCATATGGGTAAGGAGTGAGAATTGGCTCTAAGCTTTATTAAAACTAAACAAGTTGCTGAGCCCTGCTTGTTACTTGTGCCAATAAGCCTGTAATCATCGGAACTGGACTGCAAAAATTGTCTAAGTCAGTGGTTCGCAACCTTCCTAATGCCATGACCCTTTAATACAGTTCCTCATGTTGTGGTGACCCCCAACCATAAAATTATTTTCATTGCTACTTCATAACTGTACTTTTGCTACTGTTCTGAATCGTAATGTAAATATCTGATAATAATAATCTGTTAATAATAATCATCATCATCTTCATCATCTTTATTTGTACCCCACCACCATCTCCCCAAAGGGACTCGGGGCGGCTCACAGAAGCACTCCAAGTGCCATATGCAGACAACAATACTTAAGTATAAATACAATGACAGAAGAAGAAGAAGAAGAAGAAGAAGAAGAAGAAGAAGAAGAAGAAGAAGAAGAAGAAATACTTTATTTTTCTACCCCCGCCTCCATCTCCAGCTTCCTCAGAGGTTTGTTCAGAGATCTTTTAGAAATGGTGCCAGTGGAGTGTACTTGCCTCATTTCCAGCAGACCTCTGAATGAACCTCTGAGGATGCTTGCCACAGATGCAGGTGAAAGGTCAGGAAAGAATGCTACTGAAACATGGCCATTTTTTGATTTGATATGCTAATTGCCATACAGCCTGAAAAAAACCCACATTAAAAAGCCCACGATATGGTTCAGATATGTGGATGACACTTTCACCATTTGGAGCCATGGAGAAGAAGAACTCAACAGGTTCCTGGACCATCTTAACAGCATCCACCCAAACATCCAGTTCACCATGGAAAAAGAAAATGAAGGAAGACTGCCTTTTCTAGATGTCCTAGTCATCCTCAAACCAGATCAACAATTGGGTCACACCGTCTACAGAAAACCCACACACACAGATAGATATCTACATAAAAACTCCAACCATCACCCAAGTCAAAAAAGAAGCACCATTAAAGCCTTGGCAGACCGTGCAAAAAGAATCTGCGAAGCCCATCTCCTCCAAGATGAACTGAACCACCTCAACTGGGCTCTCCAGGCCAATGGATACTCCACCTCAGACATCAGAAGAGCTGCAAGACCAAGAACAAGCCACGAGAGTAAAGATGAAGATCCACCCAGAGGAAAAGTGTTCCTGCCATACATCAAGGGAACCACTGACCGCATAGGGAAACTGATGAGGAAACACAACATACAAACTATCACCAGACCCACCAAGAAAATCCAACAAATGCTACGTTCAGCAAAGGACAAAAAGGATCCTCTCACCTCTGCCGGAGTCTACCGTGTACCATGCAGCTGTGGACAAGTCAACATAGGGACCACCAAACGCAGCAGCATTGCCCAAATGCGAATCAAGGAACATGGAAGGCACTGCAGACTACTTCAACCAGAGAAGTCAGCCATAGCAGAGCACCTGATGAACCAACCTGGACACAGCATATTATTTGAGAACACAGAAATGCTGGACCACTCGAACAACCACCATGTCAGACTACACAGAGAAGCCATTGAAATCCACAAGCATGTGGACAATTTCAACAGAAAGGAGGAAACCATGAAAATGAACAAAATCTGGCTACCAGTATTTAAAAAACTCTAAAATTACAACAGCAAAACAGCAGAGAGGAAACAATCTGGAACATCTAATCACCTCTCAACAAAAGATTGCCCCAGGCACTCCCAAGACCATCAAAAGCTAATCAAGGGGGTCAGTTGAAACATTCACACCTAGCTCCAGCAGACAAGAGTCCTTTGTCCCACCCTCACTACCTCTGAGGATGCTTCACATAGATGCAGGCGAAACGTCAGGAGATAATGCCTCTAGAACAGGGCCATATAGCCCGAAAAAACCTACAACAACCCCCTTTGCAAGTTTGCAAGCAGGTCTTCAGTAGATACTCTTTTTTTTGGTAGGAATTAAGACCCCCTCCTCCCCCCTGACTTTTTCAGTTGGTGTGACCTTTCCCCTCTGCTCCTTCATTCCCAGGAAGACACGGCTGAACCAGTAGCTAGAGAAGGCCTTCTTCCAGCTCGAAGACCAGCCAAGCTTCCACGTAGGATTGCGTATTGGAGTGCCCATGAGATTAATGCTCTCCTGGATTACGTCCTGCAGTGCCAGCGGCTGTACATACAGAGGGTGATGGCAAGCACCAACTTGCGCACCAGAAACGTGTGGATCGGGGCTTCCCGGGCCATGGCCTTACGTGGCTTGAACAGAACCCCTGATCAGTGCCACACTAAATTTAAGGCACTGAAAGGGGCATTCTATCGGGCCATGGAACGCCATGGTGGCCTGGTGCCACGGAAGATGCAACCACCCTTCTTTGCTAAGCTCCACCAGCTGTGGGAGATCGGTGGCAGGGCGGATTGGAGGGACCGGAGGCCTGTGGGTAAGAATAATTAACCTTTTTCCAGTTTTTAATATTATTTGTCTATAGTAGAGACCTAAGTAACTTTCTGTGTTGTATTTGTTGGTAGTATTACTGTGTATCCGTGTATCGACGTCCTTAATCTAGAAAAGAGCTTTATTGTCCAAAGCTTTCATGGACAGAATCACTGGGTTGTTATGTGTTTGGCCATGTTCCAGAAGCATTCTCTCCTGACGTTTCGCCTGCAACTATGGCAAGCATCCTCAGAGGTTGTGAGGTCTGTTGCAGGCCAAGGTCTTTAGGCATTGCACCCAGTGTGCCAATCACTACTGGGACCACCTTGATTGGCTTGTGCCACGGTCTTTGCATATTATTATTATTATTATTATTATTATTATTATTATGGAGCCCCCGGTGGCGCAATGGGTTAAACCCCTGTGCCGGCAGGACTGAAGACCGACAGGTTGCAGGTTCAAATCTGGGGAGAGCGTGGATGAGCTCCCTCTGTCAGCTCCAGCTCCTCATGCGGAGACATGAGAGAAGCCTCCCACAAGGATGGTAAAACATCAAAACATCCGGGCATCCCCTTGCAGATGGCCAACGTCCTTGCAGATGGCCAATTCTCTCACACCAGAAACAACTTGCAGTTTCTGACACGACAAAAAAATTATTATTATGTTATTCTTGATACCATATTGTTTTTGTTGGACCTCCTTTTCCACTTATAGAGCTAGTTTACTGTTTTTCTTTGAAATATGGTAAATATTCAAAAACATTTAACCTCCTGATTCCTCAACTATTGTAATTTTATTGGTATCTGTTTTGATTTTGAAATTGACCAGTAGTTGCTGCATTTCCCACCCTTGGCTTATACTCGAGTCAATATGCCTTGTGGTAAAATTAGGTGCCTCAACTTATATTTGGGTTGGCTTATACACGAATATATATGGTAAATCAGTGTTTCATTAATACATTACTTCCATTGTAAAATATAACTTTATTAGACACTAGCCATCCCTTGCCATGCGTTGCTATTGCCCAGTCTCTGTATATATGTGTTTTGTGTGGGTATATGTGTGTATGTGTTTGTGTGTGTATATGTTTACGTATATATATGTGGTTTTGCTCATGCATTGTAATTTTTGGTTCTTGGCTTTTTAAGTCTCTTCCACTGTGTTTTTATGAGTGATGGTCACTTGTTGGCTTGATACATGTCTTGTGTCCAAATTTGGTGTCAATTCATCCAGTGGTTTTTGAGTAATGTTAATCCCACAAACAAACATTACATTTTTATTTATATAGATGCTAAAACCAGACGCTTCCTCTTCATGAGCCTTCTTTCTTGTCTTCATTTCTTCCATTTCCTTTTTTAGCAGATGCATACCATCGCAAGGGGGGAGAAGGAGGAGATTCCAGTTTGAGTGGCGAGGAAAGTGGCGAGGAGGAGAGGGTTCCCATTGCTCCTGTGCCAGGGCAAGCACCCCATGCAGCTGAACATAGTATGCACATCTTCTCTATGGCATCCCTTGCGTGGGCAGTTTTTACTTTTGGATGCAATGCATGGCATGTTGTCATTTATTTATTTATTTATTTGCGACATTTATATGCCGCCCTTCTCACACCGAGGGGGACTCAGAGTGGCTTACAAGATATATATATATATATATATATATATATATATATATATATATGTATACATACAATATATTATATTATTAGCATAGTACAATATCAGTATTATATATTACTATATTGTACTATACCATTATATTGTAACATTATTAGTAATATTACATATAAAATATATAATTACAATATTATATTATTAGTAGTAGTATTATATTGTATTACATTATAATATTATAAATTTTATATTATATATAATGTAATATATATTATTTATATGGTAATACAATATAGTATTCTATTGTATTACATTATCTTTGTTGTTGTTCATTCGTTCAGTCGTCTCCGACTCTTCGTGACCTCATGGACCAGCCCACGCCAGAGCTCCCTGTTGGCCGTCACCACCCCCAGCTCCTTCAAGGTCAGTCCAGTCACTTCAAGGATGCCATCCATCCATCTTGCCCTTGGTCGGCCCCTCTTCCTTTTACCTTCCATTACATTACATTACTTTATCTATTTATGTAAAAATGCTCTGCCTATAATGAGTTCCCTAAAAACAAAGAAACTACGGGGCCAAATGTCCCCAAATTTGGCAACAAAACTCCTCACAATCCAAGGAGTAACCATCACTGAACCCCCCCCCCCGCCCCACAAAACACCTTTAAATTCAAAAAAAGGAAGAAGACAACATACCTCCCCTGCCCCCCTTCCTCCCTTTCTTTCCTTCCTTCCTTTTTTCTCCTCCCCTCACCAGCTTCATCCTCCTTTATTAAATCTACAGTGTAGATCCACCCAAAGCCACCCCTTCCACACTGCCATGTAAAATCCAGATTATCTACTTAGGACTGGATTATATGACAGTGTAGACACATACACATACACACACACACACATATGGATGGATGTTGGATCACTGGTTGGTTATATATATATATATGTGTGTGTGTGTGTGTGTGTGTGTGTGTGTGTTCAATACTTTATATATTACTATTATATATACTGCTATATAATATTTATTTATTTATTTATTTATTTATTTGATACACTTGTATACCGCAGTTTCTCAGCCAAAACAGGCGACTCAACGCGGTTTACAACAAGGTAAAACATCAGTCAACAATATGCAATTAAAACCATTAAAACAAATATGACATTACTAACACAACCATAACAACACCATACATCTCATAACTAAAGTCGTAATCCAAATTCGTCGTCCATATTTCATTCCTGTAGTCATCACATTTATTGCACTGTTTCTCCAAATGCCCGTTCGAACCCCATATATTGTTATATATATATCCCTATATTAAATAGACTCATAGAATAGAGTTAGAAGGGACTCTACCATGGTATTGGGGGAGAAGAGACAGGAAGAAAGGGGGGAGGGAAAAAGGGAAGGATGAAAAGAGAAAGGGAAGGAAGGAAGGAAGGAAGGAGGAAGGAAAAAGGAGAGAAAGAAGGAAGGAAGGAAGGAAGGAAGGAAGGAAGGAAGGAAGAAGGGAGGAAGAAGGAAGGAAGGAAGGAAGATAGAAAGGAAGGAAGGAAAAGGGAGAAGGAGGAAGGAGAGGAGGGAGGAAAGAGGGGAGGAAGAGGAGGAAAAGGAGAAGGAAGGAAAGAAAGGGGTACAGAAGGAAGGAGAGGAGGAAAGAAAGAAAAAAGGAAGGAAGGGGAAGGAAAGAAGAGGAGGAAAAAGAAATAAAAAGTGAAAGAAGGAAACAGGGAGGGATGAAAGGAGACAAAGGAAGTAGTAGAGAAAGAGGGATGGAAAGAAGGATGAAACCAAAGAGCAAAGGAAGGAAGGAAAGAAAGAGGTAGAGAAGGAAGAAAGGAGAGAAAGGAAAGAAAAAAAAGGGGGGGGGGAGGAATAGGTAGATACCTCTTTCATAATAGTCCAGACATCTACCTCTACTTCGAAAAGCCTTACTATAGGCAACAGCAATGCGTGGCAGGGCAAAGCTAGTAATATTATAAATGTGGACCTCCCCTCTTCTATCTCCATTTGCAGGAGCTCTCCAGGAAGCAGTTAGTCTGCGCCAGCTACAGCAACAGCAAAGGGCATGTAAGTTACTGTTTTTGTTGGCTATGGGTTGGGTGCAGTTCTACAGACCACTGTGGTATATTTACTGTTAGATAATTCTGTTGTTAGGCTGTTTTTATTTTTTTTTTTAACTTTTTTTCTTTTTTGGTGTCAGCAGCGACTTGAAAAACTACAAGTCGCTTCTGTTGTGAGAGAATTGCCTGTCTGCAAGGACATGGCCCAGTAGATGCCCGGATGTTTTACCATCCTGTAGTAGGCTTCTCTCATGTCCCTGCACGGGAAGCTGGAGCTCACAGATGGGAGCTCACCCCACTCCCCATATTCGAACTGCTGACCTTTTTGGTCAACAGTGCTGACAGCACAAGGGTTTAACCCAGTGTTTCTCAACCTTCCTAATGCCACAACCCCTTAATACAGTTGTTCATGTTGTGGTGACCCCCAAACATAAAATTATTTTCATTCCTACTCCATGACTGTAATTTTGCTACTGTTATGAATTGTAGTGGAAATATCTGATACGCAGGGTGTATTTTCATTCACTGGACCAAATTTGGCACAAATTTCCAATATGCCCAAATTTAAATACTGGTGAGGTTGGGGGGGGGGGTTGATTTTGTCATTTGGGAATTGTAGTTGCTGGGATTTATAGAATCAAAGAGCATTCTAAACTCCACCAGCAATGGAATTGAACGAAACTTGTCACACAGAACTCCCACAACCAACAGAAAATACTGGAAGGGTTTGGTGGGCATTGACCTTGAGTTTTGGAGTTGTCGTTCACCTACATCCAGAGAGCACTGTGGACTCAAACAATGTGGAATCTGGACCAAACTTGGCATGAATTCTCAATATGCACAAATGTGAACGCTGGTGGAGTGTGGGGAAAATAGACCTTGACATTTGGGAGTTGTAGTGCTTGGATTGATAGTTCATCTACAATTAAAGAGCATTCTGAACTCCACCAACAATAGAACTGGCCCAAACTTCACACCCAGAACCCCTATGTCTTGAAGGGACTCACTGGTGTGAGCCTCCCTCCAGCCCTGCATGCTCTCCCTCGTCCACATATGCACACCACACTGCCATGTGCTAAGCATGCCTGCTCTCCCCTCCCCACTTAGAGTCTCATAAGTAGCCCTCCCTTAGGCTGAGAGGCTGGCCAATCACAGCAGAGGAGGGCTTTTGGTAGGAAGATTTGTCATCTGTTTCCAAAAAGGAAGAGAAGGGCAGGTGGAGAGATCTTCAGCCTTCTCTGCCAAAGGGATTCCTAAGACCATCAGAAATATGTTTTCTGATGGTCTTTGATGACCCCTCTGAAACCCCCTCACAACCTCCAGGTTGAGAAACACTGATTTAACCCATTGCGCCACCAGGGCTTTTATTATGGAACTATTCATAACTTTTGTATTGCTCTTTTTCAACTGTTTAGTGTGGATACGTGTTAACTGTTAATGGAATGGCGATGATCTCAGCACACACATAAGGCACTGAAACACATATTCTTGTCTAAAAACCTAGTTTATTTAACACAAAAAATTAAATACACTAAAACTAAGCAGAACGAGAAACAAAAACGGCTACATGGCTTGGCTTTCCATTGCAATCAACTAGCCAGTTCACTCCCACATTCCTCAGTGACGTGATGACGTAGGACACAGCATACAGCACTTTCCGCACTGAGATTTACGACTCCTCCTTTATGATATAGTTAACCCTTTCCACACAGGATTTACAACTCGGCACATTGCAAATCACAGCATTACATTTCTAAGCACATAATCACTAACTTTGAAAACTACAAAGTACATAATCAAAACACACATCAATATTAACTGCCTTGTGTCCCAATGGGAAGAAAGGCAGGATATGAGCAAAGCTAAGAATAATAAGAATACTAATAATATGTATGTGCCTTTTCTTTGAAACAAAGAGGCTAGCCATGGTTATGCAAGCACAATGGTGCCCAGCATGGATGATGTTTGGGCCTGTCCACAGTGACAGTGTTTAATATTGTGTGTGTACTTTTCTCTCTCCATTGCAGTGGAGCAGCGGGTGAGTGCGATCGAGAACACATTTGCCAGACTGCAGGCGAACATTCAGGAGCTCCTTGCCCGCCTTCCAGCACCACCCCCGCCCCCTCTACAAAACTAAATGCACTACCCTCTGCCCTACCCACCCTGACCCAGCAGTATCGAAATGTTTTGACAGAAAAGTTGTAAAACAGTTGTAAATAAATTTATTACTTTTTCAAAAATGTTTGTGCTGAGTTTTATTAGCATACATAGGAGGCTGGCCCCCTGATGATGCAGCGGGTTAAACTGCTGAGCTGCAGAACTTGCTGACCGAAAGGTTGGTAGTTCGCATACAAGGACCGGGGTGAGCTCCTGCTGTTAACCTCAGCTTCTACCAACCTAGCAGTTCGAAAACATGCAAATGTGAGTAGAATCATAGATTCATAGAATCACAAGACCTTGGAGGTGTCTATGGACAGTGCTGGCTCTTCGGCTTAGAAATGGAGATGAGCACCAACCCCCAGAGTCGGACACGACTGGACTTAATGTCAGGGGAAATCCTTTACCTTTACCTAAAGATAGAGGTGTATCTAGAACAGGCCTGGGTAAACTTGGGCCCTCCAGATGTTTTGGACTTCAGTTCCCACAATTCCTAACAGCCTCAGGCCCCTTCCTTTGAATCGCAGGTACTTCACTTATATGGAATCATAGAATCAGAGTTGAAAGAGACCTCATGGGCCATCCAATCCAACCCCCTGCCAAGAAGCAGGAATATTGCATTCAAAGCACCATTTAATGTTGAAAGTTAAGAGTTAAGATGTTACAGTTATGCAGACCACATGTATGTATTAGAGTTATAGAATCACATTTAAAAAGAGGGGGAAATTGTCAGAATTATTGAAGGTATGCATGTATGTATTTTCAATATGATTAATATGTATTCAAGATGGATTCAGTTATGTTCAATTCTATGCTGGAATTGTTGTTGTAAGAGACAGAGAGGCATAGAAGAACAGACCTTGACAGAAGTAAGATAACAAGTTCTCTCTGTCTGGGAAGAATTAGGGAGTCGCTGGCTTACAGCCAAAGTGAAACTGATAAGCAGATGTTCTGAATACTGTTTTGTGCTGTGCTTTGATTAGCATTTGATGGCCTGGCAGTGCCTGGGGCAATCTTTTGTTGAGAGGTGATTAGCTGTCCCAAATTGTTTCCTCTGTTGCTTTGCTGTTGTAATTTTAGGTTTTTTAAATACCCGTAGCCAGATTTCATTCATTTTCATGGTTTCCTCCTTTCTGTTGAAATTGTCCACATGCTTGTGGATTTCAATGGCTTCTCTGTGTAGTCTGACATGGTGGTTGTGAGAGTGGTTCAGCATTTCTGTGTTCTCAAATAAAATGCTGTGTCCAGGTTGGTTCATCAGGTGCTCTGCTATGACTGACTTCTCTGGTTGAAGTAGTCTGCAGTGCCTTTCATGTTCCTTGATTCGTGTTTGGGTAATGCTGCTGCATTTAGTGGTCCCTCTGTAGACTTGTCCACAGCTGAAATCCACAAGCATGTGGACAATTTCAATAGAAAGGAGGAAACCATGAAAATGAACAAAATCTGGCTACCAGTATTAAAAAAAAACCTCTAAAATTACAACAGGAAAACAACACAGAGGAAACAATCTGGGATATCTAGTCACCTCTCAACAAAAGATTGCCCCACGCACTGCCAGGCCATCAAATGCTAATCAAGGTGGTCAGTTGAAACATCCACACCTATCTCCAACAGACAAGAGTTCTTTGTCCCACCCTGGTCTTTCCACAGATATATAAACCCATTTTCCTAGTTCCAACATACCTCACTACCTCTGCGGATGCTTGCCATAGATGCAGGTGAAACGTCAGGAGAGAATGCCTCTAGAACATGGCCAGTAGGGAAAAAAAGAAAAAAAAAACAGGAATATGAGAAGCTAAGGAGAGAATTAGAGGAACAAGAAAAAAATGCTAAACGAGACCCACAGAATCCAAAATTTCAATATCAAGCGGAACTAATAAGAAAAAAATTAAATACATTGGACCTAGAGGAAATAGAGAAAAAACTTAAGTATGCAAAGCAGGAATACTTTGAGAGTGCCAACGGAGTAGGTAGATGGCTGGCCAGGAGGTTAACCATGAAAAGACAATCTAGCAGAATAACACAAATAGTGGAGGATGGAGAAACTTTTCATAAAACATCAGACATTCTTGAACAATTTGTAAAATATTACAAGAAGTTATATGCGGAGGATAAGATCTCGAAGGAAGAAGTGATGCAATTCTTAGGCAAACAAAACATAACAAAAATAACGGAAACACAGAGGGAAAGATTAAACAGGGCAATCTCGAAGGAAGAATTAGAAAGAACAATAAAGAATATACCCCCTCGTAAAGCTCCGGGTCCAGACGGGTTATCATCAGTATATTACAAAACTCTCCTAGAACATCTAACGAACCCACTACTAAAGGTAATGAACAAGGTTTTAGAAGAAGGGGTAATTCCCGATACATGGAAAACAGCCAATATAACACTGATATGCAAAGAAAACACAGATAGTACCAAAACCCAAAACTATAGACCAATTTCACTCCTCAATAATGATTATAAAATATTTACTGGCATACTTGCAAACAGGTTAAATGAAATGCTGGCAGAAAGGATAGAGGAAGATCAGAAAGGCTTCCTGCCTAAACGACAAATCAAGGAGAATATACGTATAATAGTAGATGCGATAGAATACTATAAGAAAATAAATAAAGAAGTCGCATTTCTATTCGTCGACGCCGAAAAGGCGTTCGACAATGTCAATTGGTTCCTAATCAAAGGGACATTAAAGGAGTTAGACATTGGATACAATTTCAACCAAGCTATTGAGGCTCTCTACTCCCAGCAATTTGCGAATATAATAATTAATGGTAAAACATCACCTAGATTTTCCATTGAAAAAGGAACAAGACAGGGATGCCCCCTATCCCCTCTTATCTTTATAATGACCCTAGAACTATTACTGAATAATATAAGAAAAAACGAAAATCTAAAAGGTTTAACGATAGGGAAGTACAGCTTCAAAATCCGGGCCTTTACAGACGACATGGTCTGTGTGATTGAAGACCCCCTCAACACCATAGATAAATGGTGGTCAGAAATGGAATCATACGGCTCCGTGGCAGGCTTGAAAATAAATAAGGGAAAGACACAAATGCTGACAAAGAATATGTCCAAGCAGAAGGTAGAGGACCTTCAAAAAAGAACTGAAGTTAGTATAGTCAAGACAGTAAAGTACTTAGGGGTTATACTAACAGCCAAAAACACACAGCTCTATAAGAATAATTACGAGAGGAAATGGAGGCAGATAAGAGAAAAACTAGAGCGATGGGAACCCCTAAGGCTTTCTCTGCTAGGAAGAATAGCGGCTATACAAATGAATGTCCTCCCTGACATGCTCTACCTTTTCCAGACCCTCCCCATTATTAAAACAAAGAAAACGTTTGAAAGCTGGCACAGAGACTTCCTAAAATTTATCTGGAAGGGAGGAAGACATAGAGTCAGTTTCACCAATCTATGCGACAGTAAGGATAGAGGGGGCCTAGCACTCCCAAACCTGCGGCTCTACCATGATGCATCGGCCCTGTGCTGGGTTAAGGAATGGATCAGCCTCAAAGAAAAAAAGATATTAGCCCTGGAGGGTCATGACATAATGCAAGGCTGGCACAACTATCTATGGAGAGGGAAAGCAAAGAAGGAAAGAAATTTCGAGAATCACTTTGTTAGGTCCCCACTTATAAAAATATGGGATAGTTACAAGAATAAATTCCACTCAAAAGTCCCGCTATGGTTCTCACCAAATGAGGCCAGCCAAATTAGAGGAGCCAGTAGAGAAAAGTGGTTAACATATAAGGAAATAATTAAAGACATGCCAGGCAAACCATCCCTAAAATCTCAGGAGGAATTAAAAAAATATGATCCCACACTCTCGTGGTTCCAATATCACCAAATAAAAGAAAGTTACAACCTTGACCATAAGATAGGCTTTGAAACAAAGGATTACTTTTGGGAAAAAATTAACTCTGAGGGAAAGCACATACGAAAAATATACCAGGTGTTATTGAGGTGGGAAACAGAAAAAGAACAAGTTAAAAACAACATGGTGGAATGGGCCAAAGATATAGGTCGCACAATCAACTTTAAGGATTGGGAGGGAATATGGAAAAGGAAACTGAAATGTACATATTCTAACGATTATAAAGAGAACTGGTATAAATTATACTTTAGATGGTATCTGACACCGAAACAACTTGCCAGATTTAGTAAAGGGAAATTGCAGACAAAATGCTGGAAATGCAAAAGAAACATTGGAACCTTTATACATATGTGGTGGGGGTGCAAAAGGGTGAAAGCCTTCTGGCGAATAATACATAAAGAAACAGAGAAAATTCTGAAAAAGAAATTCCCCCTTAAACCCAAATACTATCTCTTGGGTATAACGGACATTGAGTTTGACATAAATAGTAATGAAAGTAAGCTGTTCTTCCACCTTTCGACAGCGGCCAGAATACAACTTGCACGGCTCTGGAAATCCGGAGAGATCCCTACAGCAGAACAATGGATAATAAAAGCTTATGATGTAATGAATATGGACCTTTTGACACAAAGATTAAGAGATAATGAAGATATAAAGAAAAATACAGATTGGAGCAACTTCTAGGAATATATTGAAAAGAAGAAATAATAAAATAACGAAGATATACCGAGACTGAGACCAATATAAGGATAAAAAGCTGATGTATATCAGTTTCTAACAATGTACAAACAAAGTATTTATCTGTCTGTTCAATTTGGAAGTCACGATGTTTTTAACCCCCTCCCTGTTTACCCCCTCCCTTCTATCCCTTACCCAATCTCACCTTACCCAATCTGCACACAGATCCAAGTACACGCCCCGAACCCCCCCTGGCCAGTTGTTCTACACCCACCACTTCCCCCTCCCCATCCCACCCTACCCTTCGTCTCCTTTTTTATATATATGTAATAAATTCTGTAATAAAGATATTTAAAAAAAAAGAACATGGCCATATAGCCCAAAAAAACCTACAACAACCCAGGAATAAATATCCACAAGGCAAAAGTGTGGGGAAGCTGCCACCTTCCCTCTTTCCATTTTTTGTCTGTCTGGGAAGAAATGCGACATTGGACTTGAAAAAATGCACAGCTTCTTTTTGGG